TATATATACACAATATGATTTTACAAACAAACATCGATTGAATTTGTGGACATAGCGCGAAATAGAACCATATCCAAGTTTAGACATAGCGCTGGCTTACAGAACGGAAAAGCTATTACAGTTTTTCAGTTTGTGGCCCTGGGCGCTCTCAGTTTTCTCTCTGATTTCATATTTGTTTATTTACGTACCGTCGATCTCGCTACTAGCGAACGCGTAATGGAACCATTCCTGTAAGGATTTAAACTGCGGCGGGAATAAAACGCTTCGGCTCAATCTGCAAACGGTCGCCATGGAATGATGCCTCGCGTGTTGCTCCTGCTGATGACCCAAACTGATGGTTAACGTTTGCACGACGTGAACGTCATACGTGTTCGGCGCTGGCGAGAAAGAAAAACCAAGTTTTTTATAGCACAATTTTGTGAGAAATAATGTAATTGCATCGATTTAATGTTTAGTAGTTTACTTTCGACACTTGGAATTTCTTGAGCCTCCGTGGCGAAACTTATACAAGGTTCTTTCAACGAGAACAGAGCCCAGCTTTTGCTCTTGAAGTTAATTCCGTGGAAACACGCCAGACTAATATTGCAGCCGTGAAGTTCCATTGTTCCGCCGAGAACAGTTCCGGTTGACGGTAAAGAGAATCTTAAGCTTCCCAATTGAAGACCAGCTACTTGAGCCAACACTCTTTGCCAGTGTCTATGATGTCTGGCGTCTGATATCGCAGTCTGATTTAAACTCCACGGACCTCCTGTTGTAACATTAATTAGCATCAGATTATTTTTATATCAAGAACAGTTGATCGCAAACACAGCTTGAATTTACCATCGGCGGCAGATCTTTTTTTCTGTTGCCTCTTCTTGAAACTGCTGTTGTTCATCTTTTGATGTTTCGGTTGCAACGAGCTGAACACTCGTTTGCTGCTTTTAAATTGTTGACTGAAGAACTCGTCCAATTTATAAAACATCTTCAACAGGTCGGCCGTCGTCGACTTACTGATCATAATTTGCAACTGATCCCAACCCAGATCACCGTGCATAAAAATGACAGCAGGTCTATACGCAAAAAAAAACATGTGTTTAAGTTCAAATAAAAAACTTGTGGCGTTGCTTAAATTGTTAATCTCTGTGATGTCAAGTGTAAAATTGATAAAAAAAAAAAAAAGAACACTTGAGATATACCTTCGAGTTGGCATGAAAGCATCTCCACTGCTGTTACGACTGATTTTCCACTCATCTCTGAGAGTTACGTCCAATGAAGACACTCGGGACATCAACACACTCGTTCCCATATAATCCAATCGTAACTCCAATGCAAATAGTTTCAGTCCAACCGTATGATCAGGTTCTATTCCAGGTTCTTCTCGGATGTGTACTATAAAAATATACACAAAAAGAACAACACATACATATTTATTAAAAATTCCAAAATAAATTATTAAATACGCGTGTTATTTCGTTATATTGAAAAAAAAACTCACTGTAAGTGTCAATTCTACTCAGTTCAATTGTTCCGCCGACTATACCGCCTTTCGCATCCAAACTCGATCCTCCCAAGCCAACGCCAATGTACAAATTTTTGTGTCCCGTGCTACCGATGGACAATCTTCCGTCCGATCGAAAATCTTTGGTCATCCAGCTGACGTTGCCCATTACATTGCCCATGTTCATGTGCACGTTCAACCGAGTGAAATTCACAGCGAACAGCACCAGTGTCTCCCACGCGGATTCTCTTAACTTGACTTCCGATATTTGCTTGTCCGCGGTAAAACTCCATCCTCTTCCGATATCTGATGAAATCGTGAAAGTGAGTTCCGAAATTTCTCAATGTGTTCCAATCGCACAAATATCACAAGAATAAAATACCTTTTAATCGCGGTTGTCTCGGCATGTCGTTTTCCAAGCTTAGTTTCAATTTTTCTCTATTTAGGACGGGGCTTCTCTCGGGCGCGCTTTTCGATAACGGATCGTGTCTATCGTAATGCTTTAACAGCGAGCTACCCATGACCGCCTCCTCTTGATTTAACGGAGGACTGTCGTCTTCGGGATACGCGGTGCCCGAGCTCAGATCTCCCAAGAATAAGCGTCTCACTATGCTGCGCCGATACCAAGCCTTCGGGAAAGCAAGAATCTCCGTCAATCGACGCATGTCGTATTTAAACGAGGCCGATCCAATATCAACGATCGCTGAAACGTAAAGACAATTTATTTGAAAAAAAAAAAAACAAACAAAACGCTGAAGATACGCGTGCTGGATATCGTCACGTACTTGAAAATCGTATAACAGCGCGACTGGTGTCCGAAAGCTTCTTGAGTTGTTCGCTTTGAAAATTATATTTTCTGCTTCGTGACAAGTGAAATTTCACAAATTCGACGTTGATGCTCAGCGAATCTTTTCTCTCGCTGTCCGATAATGGTGACCATTGCGCCTCCTTCAATCCCGTCTTTTTCCCACCCCCGTACGGATGAAAAATATAAACGGAAAAATCCGCCAAACAACCGGTAACGGACAAACCGCCGATTGCCGAACCGGTTTCCTTGCCCGTTGTTTGCGATTTGAATTCCCGAAATTCTATCAGCTCTTCCTCGGCGCGTTTCGACGAGAACACAATGTCCAAGGACGGCAATTGTAACATACACTCCACTCGCGAGACCGGCAAACACGAAAATCTAAACGTCGATGGCTGCATATGAAAATAGACTATAACGTCAACGGGAAAACTGGCGTAAACGTAATTGCTGTTAGCAGCGGTCGCTGCCCACGATGTGTTCTCCGTGTTTTCCAACAGAAAACCAGCATTCGTTTGCGTGCTGCTTTGAAAATTGTTCTTGCTCGGAATTGGTTCCAAGGTTTGCTCCAAGAATTCAAGAATGTGAGGACTAATGATAGTTTCCTCCGGAATGCTTTGCAGAGTCATCCAAGCGAAAAGACTAGCTTTTTTAGTGCTAGATTTTCTAAGTACCGTCATTGTAATTGGATTCAGTAAACTATTCTCGGCGGATATACGAGGAGATAACGATTCTTCCGTAAGAGTTTTCGACTCGTAATGAACCTGCAACATATAAGATAAAACCTCGTTCTTTACGTTGCTCCGCTTAAAAAAAAAAAAAGATCTGAAAATTGTTGACATCGCGCGCAAATATTATAAAAAACGCTAAAAATTTCACCTTAACATCTAAGCCGGGAATATGAAAAATTGTTAAATCTACTAAAGGCACACTTGTATGTTGTAAGTATCTCAGTCGAGACGTGCTAGCTGTCGATGACTTTTCTTTGCTATTTAAATGTTTTCTGCTGCTGCTAGGACTGCCAGGTTGAAAGTCGAACGTTCCTCCCGAACATGATCTTTCTTTCTTCATTCGACTTAAACTGAAAGAGAAAAGAAGAAATTATTTATTATGCAAAATATATAAATCTTTCTCTCTTTATAAATCGTGTTTGTTCACGCGGGATATTTACAGTTTAATTTCATCTTCTTTGGCCGAATCCTTAGTATGCAATACACATTTTCCACTGTTAATTAAAACCTTGACGTCAAGTTCAAAATCTATATTAGGCTCTTGGGTTTTCTGGGACGTAGTGTACGGCGATGACGTCGACGAAAGTTGCTCTTTTCCAAACGAATCGAGTAACGGCGCACTGTAAAGGAAACATTGACATATTAACCCCCCATGTATATGTATAAGTACTTCATATAATTAGACAAGTACATTATTAAAAGAATACATACTTTCCTTCCATACTGTCGTAACTAGATGTGACGCTAGTGTCTTTAGTCTTTTTTCTCAATTCGACTCGTTCTCCTTCGATCTCGATAGTCTCCGGCCATTCTAACTCTCCCTCTGGTAAACTCAAATCAGAACTAGCGCTCGGCAGAGACGACTGCCTGGGTATGTGAGATACGAGTCAATGTACAAAGTTCAGAATTCGTGATAACTAACTTAATAAACTAATACAGTTTCGAAACAACTTACCTGCACATCGTATGTGTGTCGCTGAAAGTAACTCGCGGTCCGCCAAGTCCTCTTACGCGCAAAGAAGCTGAACTGTGAATGAAACAAAATTATTTGCAATCGAACACGTACAAGCTTGCGTTTTAGATCATCACTCGAGTCAAACAAAATGCGTACCGACTGGGTCCGCTTCTGGGACTGCTTTCGTAACTGGCTGAATTCGCCGAATTGATTTCCGTGTTTATATCTTCCGGACTCTCCAAATGATGTTCCGGGGTAGGCGACGGCACGATGAACGATCTCGAACGATAAGTGTTGGTTTTGCCACCGAGACCCAATTTACCTTTAATTCCCGAGGCTTTGACCGACTGTCTCCTCAACTTCTGAATCATATCCCTGTGAGATTTAAAAGTTTTGAAAGTTACAATTACGTGCAATTTTACAACGAAGAACTCTATTTCAAAATTTAGTTACCTTCTAAAATCCTTGAATACCATCGCTTCCAATTCGTGAAGACGTTTCATTTCCTGTTCGATAGTCCCGTGTGAGGCGCCTAACGATCGCAAGTCATTTATAATCTTGGCTTGCTCGTTCATCTCCTTCTCTATCAGTTGCGATCTCTTCTTCGCGTCGAGTGTGGGATCGAAAATAAACGCCGGGAGACCGTCGGTCCAATTCTTCGATTTTTTCATCAATATGCTTTCCTGCAGATACACGCATATGCGATATTGGTATATACATACAACGCGACAATAATTCGGAATTTTGTATTATAAAGCGATATATAAATGTATAAGAAAACTTTATCGGCAACATAAAATGTGTGTGTGTGAAATAGATACGTTAAAAGCCAAATATTTGCACGCTCGCTGCAAAGCAAGATGAGAACAAAACTCAAATGAAAGATCTGCGTCATATCGCATCAATATTCGGAGAGATGTGCGTTTTTTTTTTAATTACTACTTACTTAGAGATACAACGAAAGAGAGACTTGTGCGTAAAAGCGAGAAAATAAAATTTATAAGTAAACCATACTTTTTTCTTAACCTGGCTAGTACTGTTTTCTGGTTGATCCCCGTCATCGCTGTCGTAATCCGGAGGCACGTGAATGTCGTCTTCCTCCTCGGAACCGGTTAACATGGTAAGTGTGTGTCCAAGAGCGGACAGTTGCTGCCCCACGCTGACATCGAGATGAATATCAACTCCTTCCATTTGCCACTGAACGTTCAAGATCCACTTGGCGTTGTCTGAAATTATTTTTGTCGCAAAACAAAAGTTTCGCATCACATTTTTTTTCCAACGCAAATTTAAATCTTCGTTCAAATCACGCGAAAAAGAAGAAAGAGAACAAAGATCGCACCGGATTTGTCTTGTTTCTGCGCGATGGTTCTGCTGCACACCTCGTAAGTGCCTTCCGACACGACGCATAAATTCATTATATTGCTGTCGGTCATGTCCGGTTTCCAATCGTCCAAAGAAGTTTCAAAGTCTTCCGCAAACCTCAAGCACAGACCCACAAATCTATCGAAAACACAGGAAAAAAATGTTTTAAGTATATGCAAAAAAAAAAAAAAAAAAAACAATGCAAACACTCTCAGTGTAAATAATTTGTGAGAGAACACGCGTACCTTCCTTTGCTGACTAAACTACCGCTGCTGCACGCAGATATACTTGTATTTTCAAGCGTTATGACGACAGCGCCTCGCGACTCGCCATCGTAAAGACTTCTGTTCAATTTCCAATTGTTTGGTGGCAGAGGATTGAGCGGCAAGCAAATACCCATGTCGTCAACGGTCAATTGTAAGAACAACGTTCCGAGATGAGGCGCGCTAAGCTGACCGAACGGAACCTTTTCCAATACTTGCTGAGTGGCAGTCAACACTTCCTTGTTCAGATTAGATCGTTTCTCATTCCAATATTCGTACGCATTTTTGTAATTCAACCAAACGAGTATAGCTTTGTCAACGGCTATCGGTTGTATGTAAATCAACGGACGTTTGAGCGTGATCAAAACGACTTCTTTGTCCTCACCCTGAGCCATTTCTTCTTGGAACGCATTTCGCAGTCCTATTCTGGTGTGAAAGAAAGCAAATTGTTGAAATTCCGGTTCCGCTTCTTCGAACAAAACATTTTTCAATAGCTGTCCCAGACTCAGATTGATGTCAACTTGCGCCTTGCCGAATAACTTCATATAAGGATTGGGTTGCGTCGCTCCGGAAACGTTTTGCACTCGGTTGGACAATTGGAACTCAACCGCGCCGGTTTCCAGTCGCACTGCCGAGTTCGTTGGGGTTGTCGCAGTCAATTGAATTCGCTGTAGAGAAACGAAGACGTTGACAATTTTGATGTTATACATTATTCACATAGTACATTGTACACACACCTTGATACGAATACTGAGTGAAAATAAAATTCGTTTCAGCGTGGAGTTGGTCGTCTCGTCGTCTTCAAACCACAAGGGTACTGGTTTCTCACCCCCATACACTTTCTGCACCACCTCGTTTACCTCCTTCATAAACACTTTCTGCACAAACACCAAATGGTTCAAGAGATCCGTCGTTAAGGAATGTTCGAACACCCCAATATCCGCAATCGCACTGAGATAACTGCCTTGCCTCAGTACAACGCCGTCTGAGAACAAAAATTTTGATTAAAAAAACTACAACAGACAACCACCATGATCATGAGAAAAACACACGGACTGTTAATTCACCTGCCAATTTGCTGTCGTTCAAATTGCTGCTTCCATCTTGAACGTATTCGGCCGAGACGTGGACTTTAGGTAACTCGATGCTAGCCTCGGACGGTAAATTCGCTTCCGTCACTTGCAACTTCGTGGTGAAACTTAGATTATGATGAGGCAGATCTATGGTAAACTTGGCTTTGCTGCCTGTTGTACCGGAACTGTTCACCTGATCCATTTTGTATTGCGCCTGGAGAGACGGTAACAGTGCCGCGGTTATGCTCAAACTTTGGAGTATTATGTGAAATTGCATGACAATAGGTTCTAATAGACCCGACACGGCTTGCGGCTTTTCCACGTCTACCGAAGGCGCCGGCGCGTAATGATGCGGACTGCTCGGAGCACCGTCAACATCGTCCTGCTGTTGTCCACGTGACATTCTTGACGATGTTCTGGTGACTCTCAGTTCCTGCAAAGACAACACACTCCTTCTTTCGCACGTGTCTTCTTCAACCAAACCGTAAAATATCGACGTGCGTCAATATCTACCTGTAACGTCGACGACAATTGCTTGCTGCCTCTGGTCATCATTCCATGCAGAGCTACCGGATGTTGGGGTATGTCGATGTTCACAGCGCCGACGGTCAGTAAACCGCTGTTCTTGTCCTTCTGACGCCTCGTGATGCTCGAATACAGAGCCTGGGACTTGCCGACGGTAACCTTTACGACTGTTTGTTGACTTGGAGCAACGCCCTCCAGCAGAACGATCATGGTTCTTCCGATTTGTCCGGTCATGCTGCATTCGAGACTCGCGGGTCGCGATTTCTTGCGGCAAGTCAGACTGGCGTGCAGACTCGTGATTTCTTCCTCAAGCTTCAAACCGCTCAGTGTGGCCAGTAATCTGGTTCTGTGAATTCGCGCTACGCCGAAAATAATCAATCTTGTTCTCTCTCCGGTTACAATGTCTGGAAAATAAAAAAATAACATTCGTTTATTCGATTTGTAACAAAAAGAGAAAAAATATTCGACACTTACTCAATTCTCTCGAAGGAGGAACGGGTGTCGAACTGTTCTCCGCGTTTAATCCCTTTTCGATATCGACGTCTTTGGTTTCGTTCAGAATCTCGTACTTTCTGCCACTCTTGTAATGCTCCGCCGTTTCGGCCGGTATCGAGAATCGATGAGTGATCGTTTTGGTTTCCGGACGCGTCGCGTACAAATCCAGAAGATAGTATATGGTCTTCCAGCATCGTGGCGTTAAGTGCGCGCTATCTTTGCGCGTGTCCGACAACATCGTGAATTTGTCTAGACCGGAACCGCTGGGACTCGCGCCGAAACTGGGCGTGATAACGCCCTCGCTCAGATTGATGTAGCCCTTGACGCTCTTGCCGGTGCTTCGCAACTTCTGGGCGAAACTCTGCGGCCGAGATCGCACGGTCGCTCCTTCCGTCTTCGACTGATTGGGTTCGAGGCTGCTGCGAAGCAACGGCGCCTCGACCTTTTTGCCGCCGACGAGAAACTGTTCTTGCAGATCGGACGCTAGAAAGACAAAAAAATCACAATTCGCCAGGTAGAAAAAAACAAAACAAATGACGTGATTAATCATATCATTAAAAAAAAAAAAAAAAAAAATATAGCGCGTTTACTTGATGACGAGCCATTTTTCGCGGCAGTGTCGTTAGCGATTATGTTGGCGTTCCGTTTTCCCTCGGGCTGTTGCTCCTTCAGCTCCATCTGCGTCTCCTTAACATTCTGATACATGTTGCTTATCTGATGCAACAGTCGAAGAAGCGGCATGTTCACTTGTTGGCTTATGTAACGAATATTCAAGCTAATGTTAACAACCGTGCTGGTGTGTTTCTTTAATTGACCTCTGGATATGTATAGAACGTTTTGCTTCTGTATCATGTCGTCCACCGTCATGTCGGCCATTTTTTTCACATCGATATCCACGCCGATTCTCTCGCACAAAAACGCCGGCGTCTCCGGCGGTATGTCGAGGTAAAATTTCGAATTGTTACCCTTTCTCGGCTGGTACTTGTTATCTAAAAAAAAAAAAAATCAATCGAATTAGAAAACAAATTGTTAACTCGCAAATGTGTTTCGCATTTACACGTAACGCGAATCGACAATTCGAACTCACTTTTCTTCTTGTCTATCACTTTTCCAAATTCGCTCACAACTATATCAATGCGCATAGTGTCCATACTGCCTACAAGAGACAAATTAGAGCCTAACGAATCTAAAGAAGACATGTTATTTACATTTCCTGATCCAATGACTGATAACATCTGTTGCGGCATAACCGACAAGGACGACAAAAGAGGCTCGAAGATCAAATGAGCGTCCAACAGTCTCAGTGAGTCTTTCATTGGATATAGAAAGGCGCCACTTTGTATATCAGAATCCTCGGTATCGTCGGTGGTCATGGTGTTAATTTTCGAATCCTGAAAAACAAAGATTTTCGATTGAACATCCTCTTTTTTTTTTTTTTTTTAACTTAAATATCGCACTTTTTTTCAAATTTATACCTTTGTGGATTTTTGCTCGGTTCGAAAGACCTATGTGAGCAAGAAACGAAAACGGAAGATAAGCGTACGTACAAGCTTGCAATTGTGTGCAATGGAAATCTTTTTGTACAAAAATTCCCCCCAGAAATATCATATATCTTCGAATTTTGCGTATCGAATTTTAGTTAGTTCAGCGCGTCACTAAGACTCACCCAATTGCCTTTCAAATTTCCCTTGTCATTGTCCTTCATGAATTCTTGCTGCTTCGCCATCCAACTGTAGAGATCTTCTCCCGTATTTATGGGCTTGGTGGAATGACTTGTCGGAGACGTTATTTGATCCAAACTCCCGGTGCTGTGCTGACTGCCGTGACCCAGACCTCCGGAATAAATGCTGGGATTGGAACCGAGTTGGTGCGAGTGCGAGACTTGAATTTGCGGAGGTTTTTCTTCCTTCAGTGTCCCGTAACCTGATATATGAAAATTATATATATAAAACAGTCATAATATCACAAACCTATTTCATATATTTTATCATTAACAGCGATATTGTGAGATATTAGTTACAAACACACCGGAAATGTGTGGTAAGTATAAAACGATGCGGTGATAGATTTTAATAAGTTCCGCAAACGCCCAGATATAGTTAATTGAGTAATACGGGGGATAATTAATGAGAGAAAAATAAAAACGTGAGTGAAAAACTTTCCCCGTGATGGTTTAATATGCGCGAAAAAGGAGACATAAATAAATCCCAATTATCAGTTATTCTACCTGGGTCGGAGGCGGGGAGTTAAAAAAAAAAATAATAAATAAATAAACAAACAAATTAATTATCAGTTACTGAGAAAATAAAAAACAGATATTACAACAATTGATATTCACTTACTTATGTTATTTGGTTCTCGCGTTTGATTGAACAGACCACCAGTGGTGAGCAAGGGAAAAACGATACTTGCACGTGTACTAGCAGGCACTTGCGTTGGTTGCAACATTTTTCCTCTCTTTAGAAGAGCTACAGGTGGAGAAGGAGAGGAAAATGAATCCGGGCCTGGAACCGGTGTTGCTATAGGGGTCGTATCTTTCCCACGAGGAGAACTTACAGGGACTGCCAAACCATCACAACACATACCTGCCCAATTTCCACACACAAAGCCAACACGTTTGTACGTTACGTTTGTTAATTACAGGATTATAACAGAGCTACGCTTGGTTAGTGAAGAATGGCGCTTTCAGAAGTGAGAAAAAAAAAGCGTTTTTTTTCTTTTTTGTTTAAAAAAAAGCGTACATTTACGTTCGGCACAGAGTTAGTTAGAAAGCGCTTTCAGGATAACAAAGATTGATTTTCAATAACGGATTTAATAACGGGTGTGTTTTCAGCAGAGTCAATGCACTGCCGTGACATGTGTCCGAAAATGTGTGGAGAATAGTAGATAAAAAGTCGCTACGCGTGTGAAAAAATACGGAAGAATCAAATCTTTCAAGTAATTTGTAAACTTTTTCATTATCTTTATATCTTTTTTTTTTTTTTTTTTTTTTACTAAGAAATTTAGAAACGTGTGGTGCAAGCGCACTTGTGTCTTTCATAAATAATTACTATACGTAAATGTAAATTAAACGTAATTATCTTGTTTTTTCCTGAAACAATTCTGCTAGCTTAGTATTGATAAACTTATAATACCTGATGTTTTATCTTGTCCACCTTTGATGTGAGTGTGTTTGTGTACATTGTCCGTGTGGATGAGCATGGCACATTCATCCGTCACTTCCTGATCGTCAACATCTCCCGCACTACCTTCTCCGTCCGTCAACAGATTTTCCTATAAAATATTAGCAACATCGACGCCCAAAATATAACTCCCACACTTGGTTCGAAATAAAAAGCATTATGATATAAGATACATTTTGGTACGCGTTTTGCTGATATTAACATGTTTTTCGCATTATTAATCGTTGCATCATTTTTTTTTTTTATAATGTTTCTGCAGTTGTGTTTAAATGTTTCTTAAATTGTCTGGAAAATTAATTAAAAAAAAAAAAAAAAAAAAAAAAACAAACCGCGCTGTAAGAGTATTATTGTATAGTTCTTCGATACACAGAAATACATTATAACAATTAAAGCTGTTCTATGTACAACATTACTTCTATATATATCGGAGATGATCACATTTATAATAATTTATTCCACAAAGCATTGCGGCACCTGCACCTTCATGTTACTTAAATGTGTGCCACATGTACAGGATGTCTCGTCAATAACTTGGAGAGGGAATGGCATATTTAAAATATATTCTAAAACATATAATTGATGGAACGTATATATTCGCGAAACGAATCCTGTACACGTCGCAGTTCGAAGACGCAACATTGCGTATTGTACATTAGGCACATACTGCAACTTGTTAAAAAAAAAAGCATGTACACGTGGTGTACGGATTGTAAGCGGTATTTCGCAATGAGATCGTTTATGAGAAAAAATTTCAAAGCACTTGATTCGATTCTATAAAAAAAAAAGTATATAAGCTACTTTGTTATACTTTTGTGTAATGCATTTCTGTAAGAATATTATTCTTTACTGAAAGATTCTCTTACTCTCTTTCACATCGATCCCTTCCATCACTTCTGTCTTATTTACTCGCTGAAAGAACACGTTTCCTAGCGAATCATACTATTGATATAATTTTTCAGAATCTTAAATCTAAGTGTCATGACGAAAAGAATTGAAGAGAAAAGGTAATAAAATTGGCGCAGATATTGCTCTGCAATAAATTTTAACATCCGTCTAACATATCGTCACGTAAATTGTCAGCAAAATTGGGAAACTTCTCAATATGATACGTCGACATTGATGTGTTTGTACACGTCATAAATTAATGAACTTACCTCGTCAGGATCTGACACGGCAAATGTAACGTTCAACGGTTTAACATGTTTCGTTTTGTAATTGTGCTCCAATAACAACGGCGTATAAAGCACGTTCTTCCACTGTCTGCTCAATACAATAACACCCTGATAAAAACAGAAATACGTAAGATTTAGGATTGTCAATCACTTTCTCTGAGTCGCATCTCACGAGAGAAGAAAGTTGCAACGCGTATCAATCGTGTCTTTCGTACCTGTCGGAGAGTGGAGAGAAGCGGCAGCTCGGATTCCTTCAAATTCGCTTCGATATTTGCAATTTCAGACAACAAAACGTAATTCTGCAATATGGTGCACAACTGGCAGGAAGGATCCTCCTGCAATGTTTTGGCTAACGGCGTTAATCTTCCGTAACGACTCTATGGAAAAACCAAAAATTGTTGTTCAAATTCAATAACTCATTAACTCAATATCAAGCGCTTTCTGCTGATGCGTCAGTTGTGACATTACATACCTTCGGAGGCATGTGAATTCCTTGTACATCCAACGCCTCCGCCATAAGACTGGCAACAATCGCGGTTGATCTTCGGTACATCGTCCTGAACATGAAAACGATTCGAATCGCGAATTTGTTGCTGGGATTCATCCACGCGTTTATCGCCGGCGAGGCTGTGCTTAGCAGATTCCAATCCAGTCTCGTGTAATCGATCTTCCGCGTTATCGGAGTGCGCGGAGGCGCGGCGAAATTAAACCACACAGTTCTCAATTCAATTACGCACGACACGGTATTGCCGTTCGCCGCTTTGGACATTAGACTGGTGCAAGTGGCACTCGCGTTCATCTGAGCGCCAGCGGACGTTGCGTTTGTCGTCGTCTTTGTATCCGCATCTGTGGTAGTCGCTGTGGACGCTGACGAAGAAAAAGATAAATTAAGTAAACTCGGAATAATAAAATTTTGTACAAAAAACTTATTGCGACTCAAACTTCTTCTCTACACACCGGCAGTGTTATTCTCCAAATCCTCCTGACTCTTGACGCTGTCTGTGCAAAACACTTCGGTCTCATTCTTTTTGTCGCTGTCGCCATTCTCACCCTTCTCGAACTGAGATCTCTTCACTACTTTCAATTTAATTCCCTCGAGACCGCACTCGAACATGATAAATCCAAGCCTGTCCTCTCCACATCCCATGGTAAACTCCTCCGTAGCTTGTGGCGGTCCGGTTTGTTTCTGTTAAACACGCGTACAAATAAATTACACGTCGACGCGATGTCTCTTCTCGTCAGAAAGCGATATTCGAAAAAAAGAGAAAAAATGGTCCGTACATTTGGCTTGTCTTTCTCGTCCACCAAGTGATGTAGATAATAATCGACGCACTTCAATGGCGATGTTATTCTTGTGCAAGTGAACAGTACTTTCGAGTAATGCGCAGGTATGGCGGTTATGACCGCGTCCTTCAGTATTGAGGATTCGTTTCTCAGTCTTCTCAATTGAGAATGCGCTTTGCCTGTAAACATTCCAAATGTTCACGTCACGCGATTAGGATTTTTAATTGAGATGTTTCCCATTTTTAACGCGTACACAAATCATCGCGACGTACCGATATTCAGAGTGACGATAATTTCCTCTTGCTGCTTCTCGGACGTTTCTATGTAAACCGTTTCTCCCCCCACGTCGGTCACAACGGCGGTAGTTTGATGTCCGGGCAGAAACGCTTTGCTGATCTTGTTCACCTTCTTCTGATTCGGTAACGCGGCCGGTTTGTGAAACGTTTGAACGACTTCGCGAGCCTGCTTCCCGAGATAGAATCTGGCGGTGACGTCGTCGAGACAAATCGCGAACAACGACACGCACGTCAGGTCACGAATATTCTCCAACGCGGAGAACGATATGATTTCCTCGACGACGGACGCTTGAAGCAACGTTAAGTTCAGCTAAAAACAATTTTATTATTCAAGTGGAAAAACACACGTGAATAAAAAAAAAGAGTAAAGAGTCATTGTTCAGTGTTGTTTTACCTTTGGCAAAATAATACTGCCTTGTATTTGCGTCGTGATACTCTCCTCGTAGACGTTCGTCTGTAGCGCGATTTTACCTGTTGAAACAATTGACCCAAAAAGTCACAAATATTAAACCGATCTGAACCGTTTATAAACAAGCGATATGTAAGAGGACTAACTTTTATCATCACCTTGACCAGTTTTAAGATTCCTCTCTGCCGTCGATCGTTTCGAACTAGTTTGCACTTGACTCCAATACGACAAGCTCTGATCCTGTTTCAAAATGTTCGCGTCCTCGACCTTACTTATGCACTCGTTGTGAAGATGATTCAGTATCGTTAACGGATGCAGAGTGGCCAGAGTTGGTATAATACTGTCGATAAAACGTTGTAGAGACTCGAGCACCATGGGACTTATCATGATGTCGACGTCTCCTTTGAATTTGACGATGACCGTCGTACGCAATCCAGTTTCGTGCAATATCGCAAGCAATTCCTCCTCGTTGTGCATCGCATTATCGTCCTCACCTGCAAATTGTTACGTATAAATTGTTTAAACGAATTTCTCGATTCTCTTTCAAACACTGCCACTAGCATCACATTACCTTCCGTTTGGTTCAGAGATTTATCGTCCCACAGATAAGGATGCGTGGGTGTCTTGTTGGACGAACTCGCGACGGGCGAGCCGTCGGAACGCGTTATCATTTTCAACGATGTGAAACCTTCCGTGACAGTCTCGAGCTTGGGAATGTAACGTCCGCCAACGTAAACCAATCTGCCGTCTTCCGCGCGTTGGAATATGGGAATGGTGAACGCGTCGCCACCCAACGGCAGTGACGATTGATTCCAGTTCGTACAGCGAACCTGTTTGTTTCACATGTGTGTGTTACGTGTATTTAACATTAAATTAAAAGCCAAATGCTTGTACGTGTAAAATATATTTTTTTATAAACATAAGTTTTAATAAATATTTATTTTGACAAACCTGCGTCAAGTGGCTGACATAACTCGACATCAACAGAGGCGAGTCCACGATCGGTTTGTTCACTTGCATGTGCAGATTCACGAGAGTGACATCCTCTTGCGACGAAACAGCGGAGATGAAACTGGTGGACGATACCGAATGGCTATCCGAATCGTGCAAACCGCTGTTCTCGACCGTTTGATCGACTTCGTTTTGAAAACTGGCGTTTCTGTTGATCCTGGGACTCTTCTTCGTGCCCAATATCTGGGTCTTCGCTCTCTCCAACGTGTGGGCTTTCGCGTCGGACGAGAGATTGTTCACGTTGGTCGAACTCTCGACGATTGACAAATCCGACGAGCACTTCTTCTTTATACTGTCGTTGCGATTAAGAACGCAACCGGAACCGACGATGGACTGTCGCAAACTCGACGTTCGACTCTCGCTCAATCCGTGACTCATGTCCTCGTCGGCCGAGTAAAACGCTTCCGAATGATTCTCCGACGACATTGAAATCGTACGTTGCACCTCCTGCTTCAGTCGTTCGTCCGAGTTGGTTCTCGCGTACAGCGAGTGATGAGAATCCGATATGTTTACTCCCTCGCCGTCTCTCGTGGCCGATCGTCTCGACGCGGAGATATTGAAGTCGGTGGAAACGGTTGGCAGTGACTGCGGACTGCTCGGTTCCAACGTTTCCGCGTTTTCCGTCGCTGTGAAGTAATCCACCGCCAATTTGGAATCGGACACGCTGCTCTTGGGCACGGTTTCGATCTCCGGCACGCTCAAAATTGATTTGCTACGCTCGGCGTTTAATTTCGAATCGGAGTCCAATTTCTGAGGCAATTGCGCGACGGGACTTGCGTCGATCAAGCGAGAATACGGCACGTCCTTGGCGTTCGGGCCGCGCATAGACGTGTACGAAAATCTTCTGTCGAGCGGCTTTCTGTCGTCACCGGATATCAACGGGCTCGCGGACGCGACGTTCAGCTTCGTACCACCGGCTTCTTCCTTGTTGTGATCGGTCACGGATCTCGGTCGTTCGACGTTCTTCTTCAAAGTTTGCGTCCCGTCCTGACTCACCGTCACTTTCAATCCTTTCGTTGTGCAATACACGTCCTGCAGAGATATGTCCTGAAAACTATAAGGCGGCGTGTGAAACACCAACTGACCGTCGTGCAAGATAGACTGTCCGAAACCTTTCTCCATGTTGGGCTCGTTAATTCTGTAAGCGGCGATGTTGATGCCGTCCTGAAGATCGTGATAGCTCGGCTTGAAAAACTTCGGCCCGTTTCGATTATTGCCGAAGAACACGCAACCACCTATGCATCCGCATTTTGTCGCTCTCTGTCCGCTTTCCTGCGGCCACAAGAACCACAAACGTTTCGTCGCCTCGTCGTGCATCTTCAGATATTTGTTCTGTACCAAGTGCAAATTGTGTTCCGGGGTTGGAAGGGAGATCGCAGCCTCCACAACGACCGGGCCCAGCGATGTCGATCCCACTTCGAGCCAGATATCCGAACCGTCGCCCGACATACGACTGCTCGCGTTGTTGTGAGATCTCCCGCTGCCGGTTGTATTGGTGTTGCTTGTATTCGCGAAGTAATCGGCCGCGGATACGAATTGACGAATCGATATTGTGGGCAGAACGGCGGTTACGCCCGACTTCACCTGATGTCCGTGAAGATTGCAAGTGGCCACGCGCACCGGAGATATCCAGAATTGTATCGCGGTGCCGATCTCCTGCAGATAAAGATCGACAACGTCCACGGACAATCTCGTCATTCTGTACTTTATGTCCTCGGAACTGGGACATCTGTAATGTTTGTCGACGTCGCTCTCCGGACACTGGAGCGGAGGAAGACCGTGATGACAATGAAACGGCAAATTTGGCGGTCGCAAACTGTTTTCCATATTTTTCGCCATTAGCAGAAAAGTCTCCAACGACGTAACGAAATGATGGAGCTGGGGCGAAGTGATCTTTCCGCTCAACTTGCCCAGTTGAACCTCGATAAGCCACGCGTACTCCAGCGTTTCCTGATCCAGACTCCTTCCCTCGTTGCTGAACATAGCGTGGCCGCGAACTTGCAGCGCGCTCAACATCAAATGGCCTTGATTCAAGTGATGTTCCTTGTTCGGTCTCGCCACGTTGTCCGTGATCAAAGCGATCGCGGGGGAAAGTAACAGCTGAAGCTGCGTCTCCCTGTAACCCTTTCTCATTTCGAATCCGAAACGTTCCAGAAGTATAACCGGACACGGTGGGTCGCTCTCGTTGCAGTTCTTGATCAAGTGGGCTTGAATATCGTGCATGGTGACGCCGACGGTTACCTCCAACGATCTGTAATCTCTCGGATCGAACGGTTTTGATTTAACATCCTCGTCCTCCACGGACGTCTCGATGCTGCTGTTTTGCGCGTCCTTGTTCCTTTCCGCGCTCACCGGGGTCGAACCGCCTCTGCTCTGTTGCATGTCGGTGAACGTCTGATAGTCGCCGAACAAATTTTCCTTCAGATGCATGAAATTCTTCAACAGAGATCCGTACAGAATCAATATGGACGGTCCGATTTCGAGTTCCACGCTAACTTTGTCGGGCGTTATGGATTGCGGATCGAACTTTTGCGCGCCGCTCCTCGTCCACTGCAACCCCGGCGATTTTCTGCACTTGGGAATTCGCATGGGGGACAAGAGAATCTCTTCTTTCTCCGGAGTCGTTATATTCGCTTGCGGTGTGGGACCCAGAGGCGGGCACAAGTGATAAATGTAATTGATGCTCAACGCCACGATCGGCACGAACCAACAATCGATCCAGCCCGATTCTTTCTGGCAAAAGTTTCTCCACTTTTTGCCTCTGTTCAACTCGTGCAAGTGCTTGTGAGATCCGTCCCGCGTCATGATCTTCGCGTTTTTGTCCAGAGCCAGTAAAATGATACGATTGGTATTAACTTCCGGCAAGTAGAACGAAAGATCGACGCTCTCGCCCTGAATCCAAAAGCGCAAAGGTATCGTCGGGGGCAGAAAGTCCACGAACGGAAGATCGAACGACAGATCGAAAAAGTCTCCGCAAAAAGCAATGTGCGCGTTCTCTTGGTTCTGCGACGAACAGTCGATCCAATTGTACTCGTTGCACACCGTAATCAGTTCGAATTCCTTAAGAAGTAAATTGAACTTCCAAGTGTACGGGACAAAGTGCAGAATGTCGGGTCTCGCTTTGCTCGCCCAGTCGTTTATCATATCTTGAAAGAATTCCTTGTGCGAATAAACCAAACTTGCGGTCGCTTTGCAACCGGTTAAATTCAACGTCCATTCTTGATGATCGTTCCATCTGATCGGATAATGACACTTCACCCCGAACTCCAAGGTCTCGCTTTCCACCAAACTGCGATACTGCAGACTGGTCGTCGCCTCCAAATGTAAAAGCTGGCCTGTTATCTTCGTCGTGTATCCGTCCTGCAATACTATCCACGGCATTGTGATTTCCAAATACGATCCCGGTCCTACATTCACGTGAACGGCATTTGTCTCCCTATTTTTGCTGAACAGTATGTCAATTGTCGCTTCGTTCAGCGTCGACAATCTGATATCGAACGACTGAACCTGTCTCTTATCTCCCGGCTTGGGCGACTTCGTCACCTTCAACGGCTGGTAATCATTGGGAAAGAAAAATTTGAACAAGTGTTCCCGCTGCCTGTCCGCCCAGGGTCCGTAACTGAAATCCGTGCCCTTTCCGCACTTGATGTCGATACCCCATATGGGCGGCATCGCTTCGACCATGTCCCCGTTCACCAGTCTTATCATCTCCGGATGTTCCGGCACAACGCCGGGTTCGTCCATGTAATAATAAACCTCCATGTTGTTTGAACTCAGAACAACGAAACCCTCTCCCATGTATCTGGGCGGATCGTCGACCATTCCGGTGTATTTCGGGCTCGGGGCTAAGATAACTTTGAAGTTTTCCGCTTTACATTTGGTGAAGTGCATAAAGTGATCGTGTCTCGAAGCTGCCGGTTTTGTGGAATATACAAAATGCGCCTCCTCCACAGTTATCGATAACGTGGTCGGTATTAATCGATTGCCGAACACCAGCCTTCCCTGAAAGTAAAACGCGACGCTGTTTCGTGAAAAATGATTTGCACTAGACCAAAGAGGTTTTTAATAAGAATATTAAATATATATATATATATATATAAAACATGTTACTAACAGTGCAAATGTCGAGTTTGATGACCGGTATCAGATCTCTCCAAGTGCGAGCGATCACGTGAGCCTCTTTCTTTCTGATGTTATCCACGTGACGGGACACATCCATCGCGTTAATTTGCGAGTGGCGAGTCTCGTTGGTGGCGTTATTCATAGATTCCTCGTCCCGATTGTCGGCATTAACATTGTGACTTTCTTCGTCTGGAAACATGTGTGCCACAAGCCCGAAAGATTTCTCCAATTGTGCATAGAGTTGACAGCGATTGTAAACATGTAATTCGAAGCCGTTTAACATCACTGACAATCGCGTATCGGAATGCGAGAGATCTGCAATAGAGATATTTTCGTGTGTGGTTTAAAAACTTGTACATTGAATAGGTTCAGTATTTAAAGAGAGAAACAACAATCCGGTTTACCTTCCGATACATCTTTAGGAACGTAACTTCTCCACCACCTAAATATGAGCCAACCGTCTTGAATTCTAAAGCTATAATCCGTTGTGATATAAACTATATCTCTAAACATTATTTTCCCACTTAAAGCACTCAACGTAAAAGATCCTGCGAAGAGAGAAATGCAAAAAAACAAATTAAGCGAAGAATGTCATCAAACTTGAAATCTAATTAAATCAAATGATTCAAACGCTTTCTCACCAACTTTAACATATCCGTCTCTGATAATAAATCGATTCAACAGTTTTGTCAGTATGTAACCGACCACTCTGCTATTGTAATAGGCGATATAAACGATCCATGATATAGCGGATACCAACGAGCACAGCAACCATATGAAGTTGCTGTCCATTTTAAGATCGTCCAGAATAATATGATGATCCATACTGTAATTCCAAAATGCCGACTCAACGCCAGACATAGATGGGACCGTGGCGTTGTATATTTCATTATCTTCCATGATGATTGATGTGTGTTATTTGTTCTTTCTGTTTAATCTTGAGTTACTTGTTACTCATAGTTTTGTGTTATCACTCTCTCTCTCTCTCTCTCTCTCTCTCTGAAACAATAGAGAAGATACGTGTGTGTGTGTGTGTGTATATGTAACATAAAAAAAAATATAAATTATATAATTCGGAGATCACACGAAAAGAAATTACCGAAGGGATATTGTTTTACAAATCTTTCTTAAATTTTTTTGTGGCATTTTACTTCCCTGTAATTTGTTCGCAAAACAAAAAATGAAAATTAAAAGCTCGTACACGATATGAAAAAAAAACACAAAAAAGGTGTTTAAAAAAACAAAACAACAGTTTTCGCACGTTCGATGCATTTGTTCGCACGCGATAGGCGTGCTATTGCGTTTTTTTTTCTTTTTTTTTTTTTTTTATCTCTTTCTCTCTCTCTGAAAAGTGACTCTCGCTACGTGACAACAATGAACATTTTCTATCTACACAAAAAAATAAAAGAGAACGTACGATCAATCAACAATGTTTGATTTTGACAGTTTTTGTACCTTTTATATATTAAATACTCGATTTAACAAACTTTACGAGCCAAAGCCACGCCAGAAAGTTCGCCGTGTCGTTCATGTTTTTTTTTCGTTTGGTTACCACAGCGCGTGATTTCTCTCCCGTAAAGAGAGAGACGCGCGATAGAAAATTGAAGAACTGGAACTGTCATCAGAGTGCCAAATCAATGTGCGGTGACGGACGTGATGACGGATGATGATGACACGCGCACAATGTGCGCACACATAAATCCGTTCGTCTACGTTCGCCATAAACACAGAGATGCCAGTTCGTGGACTTAGTAAGCATTCAGCATCAAGTGGAGGGGATACGCACACAGGCGACAGCCGTGTCCGTGTGGTTGGCCAACCATTGGCCGAAGCGCCGAGCGCACACGGACACGGTTGTCGCCTGTGTGCGTATCCCCTCCACTTGATGCTGAATGCTTACTAAGTCCACGAACTGGCATCTCTGCATAAACATCTGCGTGTTGTTGTTGGCCGGTCGCGCTCGCGCGTTCAACAAGAACCTCCTCGAACGCTTGCCGACGTATCAGACCGCAGATTGGAATTCAAACCAAATCAGAACGAAAGAAAGTTTTAGCGAATCCCGTTCTGATTGGTCAAATTTCGATCCAGTGGCGTAGGATTACACGGACGTGCGACGGATCGCAAATTCGGATTCCCCGTCGCGGATTCATCCAATCCGAAGATAGTCCACTTGAAATTGGACTTCTCTTTGTTAACGATTGGCTAATAATTTCATTTCGATCACAGTCCGCGGTGCGATATGGGATTTAAAGGGAAAACAAATACTCCGGATGAGGTTAGGTTAGAATTGAAATTGTGTAATGTGGATGTGGAAAAGACATGCCGTTTGTAATGTGTGCATTTCGTCTCGAGATGATTAAACAATCTCTAACAAACTGATTTTAACTGGTATATATATTTTTGCACTTTTATGCGCACGTTTCTCTGTAAGTTTGAAATAGGAGGCGCGAGCGTTTTAAATTATCGTTTCGATAATTTATTTATTTTATTGTTATTTTTTACATTATTCTTGCATGTAAGTTTGAAACACATTAAGACACGCACTAGTACATGCAAGAGAAAAGCTAAAAAATATTAAAATTGTTTATCCGCTCGCTGTAAATATATTGTTGCACTTGCTGTTAACGCGCTATTTGTTTTGTACATGTTTTTGTATATAAAGTATGTAACCTTGGTTTGTGTTTAATTTCAGGTTCAATACTCTGTGTATGTAAGAGCAAATCTCTCAAGGAAAAATGACACGTTATCTCGCGTTAACCAGAAGTCCGATGCTAATGACGTTATTTCCATTTGGTGATTACGATAAACCAATAAATGAACGTATTACAAAATTGGATGAATGTGGCTGGGACAGAGTAAAAAAAATATATCAGCTGACGTATGTCAGATAAGTTAACTTAAAGAGCTTCTTGTAAAATTTTGATTGTTTGCTTGAATTTCTTAAATAATTTTTATTTTTCAGCGAACATCGTTTGCTTACAAAAGAATTGCACTCCATTATTAATACAACACTGACAAGTTTTGTATGTGGTATGGGTATAGGTGGTATTCTTGCAACCAAAAAGACAGTAAATGATTTTATAGCGAATAATGAAGCAACAAGATATCCAAGTCACTTTGATGCAAAAAGGAACTTACAACAAAGAGTTGCTGAGAATTTTCTTAAGAGTGGTTTTAAGATAGGAACGAAACTTGGGTTGTTTTGTTTAATATTTAGGTAAGTGTAGATTTACAGTTTAAGAATTTTGTAAAAGGCTATAAATGAATGATTTGCTTGTTTACAGCTCTGTAGCAACAAGCATGACAGCGTATCGAGGCAAATTAACAGTAGGAAATTATGTTTTGGGAGGTAGCATATCAGGATTTTTGTTCAGAATAAATTTAGGTCTTCGAGGAGGACTTGTCGGTGCTGGAATTGGTTCCATATTAGGTGGAATAGGTGGATGTGTAACGGTTTTAACTTGTAAATTAACGGGAATAAGCATGGATCAAATGTTAGAAGCACAAGAACAGATGCGAGAGGCTGCAAATGAGTAAGTGTTTATTTATGTTTTCTAATTTAGAAATATTGCATATTTAATGGAAAACATTTTTGTAAAACAGTGCAAAATGTGTTAAATATGTAAATTACAAAACTCACCTCTTTCGTTTATTCAATATTTTTAATACATGTTATACTAATAATTACAGAGTTGCACGTGAGAAAATAAAAAAACATTTAAACAAAGAAGCACTTGGACTTGAAAGAAAGAACTTGAAAGAAGCATATGAAATATCAGAAAAACACGCTTGATTTAATAATAAAAAAAAAAAAAAAAAGATGCTTACGATTGTAATATATAAATGTATATATAAATACGTAAATAAATTAATTTAAGTAAATAATTACTTTATAAATTTTTGTGCTAGATACACAGACACACACATTTACATATATGTATACATTTGTGTATAATATTTGAAATCGCTTTTACAACTAACCATTTGAGAACATTTTGACAGAAAAATCAAATTATTATAAAACATTCTCTCCTTTTAATAAGATTAAGAGTATATGGTAAGTCTTACGAGTAAAATTTATCACAAATTTTTTTGTGTATAAGGTGTAAAATTTTAACTTTTATAAAATAGGCTAAAAGAAAAAAAACAAATTTTAATATATATTTACTAATACTTTTCTCAAATAAATGAGCATATAATACTTTGAAAGTAAACAAGATACATAGAAAATGGTATTGTGTATGTACATATATATATATAAAAATGACGAAGCATTTTCGGGTGTACAAGATTAGATCAGTGAACATTACTATCCCGCAATATCGTTTTATTTTTTAACACTATCGACATAATAATCAATTTTCTCGTTCGGAAGATAACTCCTGAACCTTGGTTATACGCTTAGCGCCCCTGTTCGGTGGACCCTTAGGTTTAGCGAATTTCGGCTGATGCAAACTGATTTTTGGATGCAACTCCTCTTGGAAGAAATCTTCGGTGAGTTCCCCTCCACCGGTTATTTCAAGCTATACAATCAAACACACATTTAAAAAATATTTTAATACGACATTTAAACACTGAAGAAAGACATCACTGCACTTTGCTACTGTATACACGTAGAAAAATTTAGTGAAATTGGAAATGTTTATTAAATTTATATTGACGCGCGGCTGCAGAACATACGCGACAGGCCTATTCTGTAACATAATTGTCATAAAAACATACTTCTCTCAATCTTAAAAAAAGTAATTACGTACCCGTGTAAGGAATCTAATCACCGCAAGTTGTGCGTCCTTAGCGACTCTCTCTCTCTCTCTCTCATAATATACCTATATATAAACGTATACATGATTTTTGAATGATTAAAATCATCATAAAGCACGTGAATATACAGAATGCTGGTTGTATGATACAGAGAAACACCACAAACTGAGTTTAAATTGCACAATGCTTTATTATTTCCAGTATATTCATTATTGGCAAGATATACAATTTTCTTCATTTTAAGTGAGCATATATAACATATAATTTTAAAAGTGTTCTAAAGTACAAAGAGTTACAGAATAGGCCTGATACAACAACTAAAATATACTAGGACACATTGTGCGTCGCGTTGTTTCAAAATAGAACACGTCTGTGATTGATCTGTGATTCAAGCATAATGTATAAGAATTAATTGGTTTGTATCTGGATTGTGTGAGCCAAACATTTGTTTTCCTTCCCTTTTTCAACGTTTTTGTTTTTCTTTCAAGATAATTTGTAGATAAATATAATTTTATCACATACAACAATTTTTGTATTTTCGTTCGTTTTTACCAATGTGAGAGACACCGCGCAGAAGGAAGACACCAAGTGTCTGACTCACAAATTATATTTCCATAGCTCAAATAGAACCCAACTAATTTTTAGTCAATCATTTTCTTGTATTTTAGAGTTTTTTTTTTTTAGACTAAAATATTTAAAACCTTTATGTGTATATATAAAAGCTACAAATGTTAAAAAAATACAGATCACAAAAAATAGAATGCCTCTCGTATATATTTTGTAGCTAGTTTATGAAATTTTAGTCCTATCTGCTGTAATATGCATGTCCACTTAAATGGTTTGAAAAACTTCTTTATACAGACACGTATTGAGTTGACAGACAGAGACACAACGGAAGAGTACAAAGTGTGATGTGTGAAATAATTTTGTAAATATATAATATAAAAATATATATAGATATATCATATTATAATATTTATAATATGCAATTAACAGTCGATAGGACTCTCACCAAGATCAGTCTTACATTATATGTAGCATACTCGTAGAATCTAATATCTTGTAGCATTTTACAATAATAATAATATATATATATGTAGAACATGATATAAAATTTAATATTTTTTAAAATAACTAGCGTTATCACTATATCGCAGAAATAATAATGTGCGAAGAAAATATATCCACACACTAATGTGGCGTTTGCGGTATTTGTGTCATTTTTGCTTCTATATTTATAAATATATTGAAAATATATGAAGATGTTGGGTGAACGAGATGTGGCTTTTTATAATTCTTCATTTTTGTTTGTTTGTTTTTTTTTTTTACTTCTATCTTTTGTCTAGAACAAATGTGGGGAATTCCTAACTCTCTAGTCATCACATATATGGTACGCAGATTTACCACAGATTAATATTAGTCAAATGTAATTATTAAATCACTCAATCTTGCATATTTGTGTGAGCTTAAAAGCCAAGCCTTACAATATCGTCACTTAATACAATACTTAAAAAGAACAAATATCACACACACCTTCAATAAGACTAGGAACTAATTCGAGTGACAAGAAGAGTATAAAATATACTCTACGTAAAAGTATATAGGAATTGTGCGTCTATTATAAAACGGAAAGGAACTCTCAATGAATGTCATTAGGGCTTGTAGAATTAAATCACTCATATACACATTTTTCATTTGCTATCACATCACAAAGCATAGCTTATACAACGCCAAATGTTATATCATCTAAAGAGCGAGGCTTAGCTTTCAATGTCAAACAAAATAATCTAATTTATATATGTATTGGTACTGGTTTTGTGATAAAATTATATATAATATATATATTTTATACATATATATATTAAATATATACATGTATATATATATATATATGTGATGATAAAACAATATGAATTATCTTTAATAGATGTAATGACGTTTTTCACAGAGAGCTTTCTTTACGTGACAATTTTGATCTTAAAATTTAGAAAAATACATTATTTGGTCTATATTCCGTTTAGCTACGTAGATGTACTATCACTTTGAGAAAGTAATTCTAATTCGTTAAAAACAACACTAAGATCTCAATACTCTTTTTTTTTTTTTTTTTTAATCCAATATAATTGTTTTTTTCCTCTGTTTCTAAATCAACTTGCAAACTTTCTAGCTATACACAATTGTAATTTACCTTTAATATAAAACCCATAAATTTTATTTTAAACAATATATTTTATGTGTCGTTATCGTACTATCACAATTCTGGAATTCATGAAGGGAAGATATTTGATGCGCAAAACATCACAAACACTTCAATTAGCAAGAAGCATGTAATAGTGGCAGAGACAATATACTTTTAAGCCAGTTTTAGCTCAATACACAAGATCTTTTCTGTTTTGATTTTTTCTCTGGTATGGATTGTGTAGGGGCACAAGGTGTCGATGGAGTTGCAGGAGTTATCGCGGCTGAGTCTTTTATACTTGGAGGGTCTTCCAACATATCTGCCAACTCCTCTCCACTATTTACTTCCAACTGGGATTGCGTTTGTATATATAATACAGACAGTTTTATATATCCGTGTACACATATATACATGTCAAAAAAAAAATAGTGTAGTATTATATAAGAGTGAGAAGAGAAACGATAATATAACGCAAGTACTGCAATTTACGACTCAAACAGCAAGCATCACTTTGCCAAGAATGCATAATAAAAAAATGTTCTTTATTATATTGAGTTAGTAGTAATCAGCATCACAGCACGCAAGAACACAGATTTTTATTTTAAGAATAAATTTTAAAAAGAGATTACAATTACTAAACAATTTAAGAGAGATTAAATTGATCGAACTTACAAGCTCTTTGAAATAAAATTTTTTGAGAAAAAAAATAGAAATTTAGTTGTATTATTGTCTTCAAAAGAATAATATGTACACACACAAAGAAAAAGGGATGAAACAAGTATATAAGAGTATATGTACACTAGCTTAAATATAAAAATAAGAGACAACTGATAATAATATTATATAAATTACTAAAACAATTAAATATACTGACCTTTTTTACTATAGTTACTCCTAGAGACTGAATAACATCGAGGAGAGGAGCTTTGCAAGAGGAATACAACATTCGTTCTTTAATACTGCAACTGTATCCTGGCATGCTATATATGAAGACTAAAAAGGAAATATAAAAAAAAAAATGTAAAACTATTTACGTTATATACCAGAGATCGGCACGATATTGTCTTGTCTTCTTTCTCACCTATGCTCTCGGTGTAATCTCCCTCGTGAGTATGCTTGAAATTGTACAAATGATATCTAGCCGCATCGGATGGGACTTTTGTAGGTAATTTATCCAATGAGACGTCACAGGCCGTTACTAAGTGTATCTTTTCCTCTTCTAATTCAATTTTCAGTTGGACGTATTCGTGAACTCCTTTGCCCAGCTCCGTGATGGCCTGTTTGGCTTCGTCCGTTACAGGAAACGCTACACCGCTCAACGTCTGATGTCTCGTTTCCACGCTGTAGTCCGTCGTCGCTGTGGTCTTCTTCAATTCGGCCAATTCCTCCTCAGCTGTTGTCAACGGCACAGGCGCTGTGTCGTTTCTCTTATGTTTGTGATAGCCTTCCAATGTGATATCTTCCGGGACTGTACCGTGCAATTCCTCTTTTATCGACGCCGTGCCAAATTCTTGCTTCAACGTAGCCTTCGTGGAAGCGTAAAGCATCTTCTGTCTAACTGGCGCGGTATCGGGAGACCAGGATATAAATAACCAATCGTAACCAGAATCCGGTGACTTCGTGTCAAATCTGTACAAGATATACGCCGGTTGGTTCTCTACTATCAGCGGCTTGATCATCTTATCATAGTCGTCCTGCCACTTGTTTATCGGTTTGGAAGAAGATGCCGGAGTAAGTTCCTCTGGAAGGGGAGGGGAAAAAAAAACAAGATAAGACCAGTACTTAAAATTCTATTATACCTCGAGATCTCTTATCCAGCCACACACAACACACACACACACACACATATGTGCGCGCTCAAGTATGCAATAAATAAAAAAAGAGACATTTCGTTACACATAAAAATACTTACCGTTCTCTATAGAAATCTTCAGCACTCGTATCTTCCCGTCGCGGCATTTCGCAAACAACTTCTTCAGCGCGTCGTTGGCTGAAAACAAAAAAATTAACCAACCGTTACGCTAACGACCGAAAAAAAAAAAAAAAAAATTTTAACAATCAAGAGCTCTCAGAATTTTGACGAGATATCGCGATCGAGAATCGTGTAGTTTTGCGCGCGACGCAAATCCACAACATAAAATCATCACCTTTGATTCCCGTTTGGTGTGACATTGTCTCACGACGAAAGCAGCTCACGTCGTCGGGGCAGAGATGATCGACTTACGCGTTTACCACAAGCTACAAACTCCTTTTTATCATCTGCCAAAGTGTCACAAAAAAAGAAAACCACTCCATCTATTACCCCTCCCCCCCTCATAAGTGTCATTCACATTTGCATACCGCGTGTGATTTTTCTCCAGTCCGTTTATTGGTCGGCGACTAGAGAGTCGTAGGGAATTTCCGAAGGTGTTTGATTGACAGCCAATAGGAACGTCAAAACACTTCGTCGCGCGACGAATGAAAACGTTTTCTTAAGCCGAGGCCACACGAGAAACTTGAACTCCGATTGGACGGGCCCAGGACGAGTCTCAACTTCGAGAACCTATCAGAGGAGGTTCCAGGTACAACTTGGCGCATCGTCTCGGAGTGCAACCGAGAGAATCTGATTTTGGAAAACTATCGCGTACACGATATTTCGCAAATGTCAACGGAAGTCTACCGTCGTTCATGAAATGTCATATTTGATATTTTTTTTTCAAAAATCACGGATCTGATCTTTAAATTTCTTTAAAAAAACACAACGTTTTGTTTCTCACAGCTGATGAGCGCGTCTGCTGATATGTCTGTGTGTTGTGTCGCTTAGCTGCGCACGCGTAGAAAATTCGGTCTCTCATCTGGACACACACTTGTCTGACGTTATCCCGGCGGATGCAGCGAGATCTATACGTCAAACGGTACGCCCGTGTTTCAAAGCAGTTTTTTTTCACCAATTTAACGAAACCGCGAACGGGGCTGGATCTGATCCGGCGCACGATTCAACATGTTGGCCCTTATCAATCGGATTCTGGACTGGTTCAAGTCCCTCTTCTGGAAGGAAGAGATGGAGCTTACTCTCGTCGGTTTGCAGTACAGTGGAAAGACTACATTCGTGAATGTCATAGCGGTACGTGTGATGTTCATTGAGATTTTGCTCGCAATTTTTCGTTTCTCGCGCGCACGTTGACGTTTTCGACGAAGAAATTGCGTAGCGCCGTTCGCGTCGTCGTGAACGTCGCGTAAGAAAGGGTGAAGGATTCGTCGTACGACGCATTTTGCGCGACACGTTTTGGTTAGATTTAATATAACCCTCCCCCGCGTTCGAAGTGACTCAGTGGTGTAAACGCCCTTGTACACCGAGTGATTTTCGCATCGAGTGAAACGATCAGCTGTGATCGTTGTTGACGCTGTTGCTCCTCTTGCAACTTCCTCGTTTTTCTTCTCTCTCTTCCCGCCTGTGTTTTTCTCCACCCGTCCCACTTCTCCTCGATTGGTCTCTTCCTGTTATTATGTGACACGTAGGATAAACAATCTGACAAAAGTTGTCATCGTTCAGTCGCCGCGTATTTTTGTTGCCGTATTTCTCTCTCGCGTATTTTTTGTCTCGAAGCCACTTTGTTGACGCTGGACGCAACATGAATTTATTTCTTGAATAAATTAAAAACCATTAAAATCCGCTTTTTCCATGATTGTCTTTGCAGAGACCACTGGTCTTTTATTTGAACGAACTGTCACATATAAGAAAACATAAGAATCTTTTGTGTGGGCACTTTTGTATGAATTAAACTAATGAAAACAAAATGACATTTTCTTTTGCACAGTCGGGACAATTTAGCGAAGACATGATACCGACTGTAGGCTTTAACATGCGTAAAATAACCAAAGGCAATGTCACTATAAAAGTATGGGACATCGGTGGTCAGCCAAGGTTCAGATCCATGTGGGAAAGATATTGTAGAGGAGTGAACGCCATAGTTTACATGGTGGACGCAGCTGATTCGGAGAAGATTGAGGCGAGCCGCAACGAGTTGCACAACCTACTTGATAAGCCACAATTGTCCGGAATACCAGTGTTGGTTCTGGGTAACAAGAGAGACCTACCTCACGCACTGGATGAAAACGGACTCATAGAACGAATGTGAGTTTGCAGAAGCATTTTTTTTGTCACACGATACTCTGAGAGAGATAATGTCATTTAATAATATATATATATATATATATGGATGGTGAGATTACATGTGCGTGTGTGTTCCAGGAATCTGTCTGCGATTCAAGACCGTGAAATTTGTTGCTACAGTATTTCGTGTAAAGAAAAGGACAATATCGACATTACGTTACAGTGGCTTATAGCGCATTCGAAAAGTGGGGTTCGCTAATATTCTTAAAGTGTTCCCATTCGTGTTGGTATCAATAAATCAATTTTTGATACTGATAGCAGTATTGGGATCAATTGTGAAAAAAAAAAAAAAAAAAAAAATAATACGAGCGTATTGAGCAAAACTTTGTTCGAAAACCGAGTCATTATTAAGTAGAGAAACAAACTTTGAATTTAAAAGCTTTAGCCGAATATATAAGTTGGACGGTGCGGAATGATAAAATTATACAAAACAAAAAAAACAAAAAAAAAGAAAAAAAAAGAAAACCAGAATTTATGCTTACGCCAAGAGTATGCTCGTGTGAATTATTACCATAAGGCACTCACATCCCGCGAGCACCTTAGTGTACTAAGAGACAATTTTTTTATATTTTCGTTTATATAGGTAAGTTTCCCACAAATATATTCCAATACCTAAAAACATTGAAATATATACATACATATATATATATATATATAAATATATATATATATAAAAATTATAATTAGTATATCTCTGTATTTTCTATGATTGCCCGCTGTTTTAAAGCTGGAATAATACCATAACATAATCGCAGTTAATTATTGTGATATTATATAGTCTAAATGTCGATACTCTCTAATTTTACCTTGTAATCTTTGAAGGATACCAAACGTTTCATGTATTATAAAAACAAAAAAAAATTAGGGAAAATAGCATATATAGGTATTACGAAGTACACGCGCAAAACAAAAAAAACAAAAAAAAAAAAAGAAAAAAACAAAAAAGATTATATCTCACTATTGATTACTATACAATACTTATGGTATATACACCTCTTCTCTCGCGCGAAGAGCTTTAATAACAAATAAAACCGACATATTGCAAACGTTTACCTTTGTCACTTCCCGTCTTACAAAAAAAAAAAAGATTAAAAAACGACCTTTGTTCCGCGAGTGCATGTGTAATAATATATATATTTCGCGAACATGTCGAATGGAAATTCAAACGTTCAACACATTTTTCATTGTTTGTCCTATGAGTTGGTTTTTTTTTTTTATTTTTTTTCATTTAATGTGTTTTTATACAACGTTTATATACAGTAAAGTCTGGATGAGTCTCTGTCTCCTCTTTTCATTCATTCAGTGATCGATTCGCGGGAGGAAACTCACACAAAAGGGATCCTTTAGAACCGCTCTCGCAGCGAGACGACGATAAGACGAGGAAGCTTATAAAAGTTAGCGAGACAAAGCGGTCTTGCATTCGATCGTAAAAAACGATCGGAATGTCTGCGACTGTTCGCGACGGCGGCGGTTGTGACGACTACGCCACTTTCGCAGACTTTACTGTGTATATGTATATGTATATATATATGTATTTACTTATTTATTTATTTATTTATTTATATGTGCATTATATTACTTTTTAAAACACATCTGCGTGGCTATTGTACTATTTACAAAATTGCGTTTGAAACAAATCAGTTTTGTATTTCTTTTGCATGCTTCCCCGAAACGACATTCGATACTTGAATTAAACTCGGTATGTACATTTTCAAGAGACTGTAAAATTGGTAATAATATATATATGTGTGTGTGTGTGAGAAAGGAAAGTATGAAGTCCTCTCTCTTTCTTTCTTTCTCTCTCTCTCTTTCGCTCTCTCTCTCTCTCTCTCTTTCGCTCTCTCGCTCTCTCTTTCAGGTCGTTGAACTACAGTTCTGACTACATTGAATGTCATTTTACGCAACGACAATGCAACGTCTCAGTTTGCTACAAGTCTTTCATTACAGCTCAACTGTGTCGATCTCTATAATTTATTATCGATTACATAATAATTTTCTCACTCTCTTAATAAAGTGGCCATAATATATATATATATATATGTATATATATATATATATATTAAATTCCCTGCAAAAGATCAGTTTACATGTTACAGCACAAAAGATCATACTTTGTTCTCGAGGTCCTGTTACACAACGATTCGCGGATACATGTACAGATTAATTAATGTAAAGGTAGAAATGTGGATTTAACCGTGTTTCCTATCTTATAATGCAGTCGTGTTATACGCTACAGAGTCATGGATGGAATGATGCCTTTCCACTTATCTGGGACAAAATTTATAGACGTGTCTCGCATATACATACAAATGGCATTTACACGCCCGTGTGAATAAAAAAGTTTAAAAAAAAAATCCAAATCGAGAAACACGACACACGTGACAACAACGGATATGAAAAATAAAAAAAAAAAAGATTATAAACAATACAGCTTTGTGTAAAACGAAACTTTTGAAAAATGCGATATGAAAAGAAAAAAAAAATGTGAAGGAAAAGAATTGTAACGGGATATAATTCCTACGGGAAACAAAGACATTCTGTTCATCGAGAATTTGATTGAGAATACTGCGTGTATTATCAATTTTTATCGTGGGTTTCTCGTTTATAGGATATTGCGTGTGACTATGGAAACTATTTCAACGATAGATACTTCTTTACTGTTTCAACAATCAACATACGCATCGTACTGTTGTGTTTCAGAACTGAATGTTTTTGAGTTGCAAAATTCGTCTCAGAAATAAAAACCAAAAACGTCTTACTATTATTCAGACAAAGAGCGACGCGACTTTATTTTATTTTATTTTATTTTTTTTCAAGTAATGTCAAGCGAATATTTAAGAAAACATTTCATGAAAAAGTTCATGATGTACGTAAATACGCAAATTTTCGGTAAGGAGAGCATCTATCTTTTTAAACACCTTCCAGTGTCCTGCGTTAATTACACAATCTGTCTTTTTTTTTTTTTTGTCTTGATTATATGTCGCTTTTTCAAATTAACTCATTAAAGTTATACTTATTACAATTTTGTCACTTTATTCGTCAAGAAAAAGAACGTAAACTGTGTTTAAAATATACATTCGAATCGCTTTGGTTTGAATAAACTTTGAAAAACAATTCTATGCTGGAGTCATCATGTATACAAATGTGCACTGTGTGTCACAGTATATATCGGTAAATTGAAATAAAAACTTTCACACGCAAAGATCGTAAGAAACTACAGGCTTTAATGAGTTAATATCAGTGTTGAGCATCTATCGTAATTTTTCTGCTTAAATTATGTTACAGTTTAATGTCCATAAAATACATATTTACGCGACTATATTGCATATACGTATGTTGCGTATACGCATTCGTGTTATAAGCTATATATCTACACACATATATATATGTGTGTGTGTGTGTGTTATTTACAGAGAAATTCAGAAAAAAAGATACTATACGTTTTTTTCTTTCTCGCTCTCGCTCTCTCTTCTGGAGAAAAGACTATGGAATTTTTTATAGTTCAATTATACATGTATCACGAGTAATACTTTACACTTACAAGTCTATATCGTACTTGCATGAGAAGGTACACTTTTTTATTTTTATATATATATACCCGACCTCGTACGAAATAATGCTATTATTCAGCAATATTGCAAAATGTACCACACAATTTTGATCTTTTCTGGTTTTTTTTTTTATTTTTTTATTTTTTTTTTTATTTTCTATTCAATACCTACGTCGTGTATCCGCACTTCGTATACATTTACACGAAGATGTTATTGTAACATACTTAATAAGCAATAAGTCGATAACCTTCCTCCTCTATTAACGTATAATTTCTTTGTTGTTGTTGGTTGTTGTTGTTGCGCGTTATGTTCGTTCGAACAAAACGATTACAAACTTGTTAATTTTATAAATTGTTACTTCAAAGGTATTAGTAACGAGACTTGACGAAAAATGACACGTACACCCGCCATTTCTTTTCTAAACTTAATGAACATCGCTACTTAATCGTTTTGGTTTTGTGTATTTTTTTTTACTACAAAAAAGGAATTGACATCACATTTCATATAAAGAAACGACTCCATTTTTCGTCAAGATACCTTCCGCACATGTACATCGATCTTACATCGTTAATCATTGCACAGAATTATATCTCTATTTTAAATATATTCCCCTATTTTTTTTTTTTTTTTTTTTATACAAGCTGTGACATGACTATATTTAAAATTGAATTCAATAATAAAGCACAATTTTATAGGATTACTCTACTCTCTCTGACTAGCTTTATGTATATCACTAGACTTCACTCAAAACTTATTATATGAAAAACTTAGCAAAGCATATATCCGCGTATTTTGGATCAACGTCTATCATATCATATGTGTGCATAAGAAATATTTAAATGTCTGCCCGTAAAATTACACCACCTGTGTGTATGTATGTGTTTGTTACATTTTACTTAGTGATACTTTATTGGTTGTTTTTGGAATCATGCGCGCACATATACACACAGAGTCATACATACATCCAGTATTTCAAAACGACGTGCTATAGCTGTCACATGAGTGTCTTTTGTGAAACCATTCGAATTCTATTCGGGATTAATTCCGATTGAAATAATTCCGAGTTTTTCTTTTAAATTTTTCTAAACAATCGGAATCGTTTCGAGTGGAATCGATCCCGAGAAGTTTCACAACGGACACTCGGTTGTTGGCTATGGCTATGAACACTATAGCTGTATTGTTCGCACATACACATACGAGCGCACACCGTGTGTTTACACGCGCATACACCGTACGTACGAACGTATATAGTACGCATATGATCGAGTATAAAGGACCTGATGCAAAAAACGTCGTTCTATTCCATTTATAAATTTTCTTACATGTGTGTGTATTCTCTTAATATACATCTACGTTTAAAAAAAAAATTCTCTGCATCTTCTTTGATCTATAAAAGTTTGTATACAATAAATGTGAGATATTTTCTTTAAACTTAACAAAATCAAACACTTCTTTAATATATAACAATATAAATAAATACATGAATATTTTTAGTAGTATATAAAAAAAAAACGAAGTATACTTAATGCAATAATATTTGTCGCACACAATGTCACGTGTATATCTAATATCAAAAGTTTATAGCGCAAGAATAAAGATTCTTTTAATAATTACATATTTCAAGCGAACTAACGTACAAAAAAGTCGTTTTGATTTTATATACACACACATACAATATGTAATAAAAAAATCAAGTGTTTAGAATTGGTGCTTCGTACATATACACACAACATAATCTTCTCGAAAACAAAATTTGTAGATAAATACAAACAAAGCGAAGATTCTATATGTATACATACGTACGTGTGTGTGTGTGTGTGTGTCAATGTATGCGCGCATATATGTATGCATATATACAGTATATCTGAAAATTATTGGAAGTTTATTTATAATAACAGCTTGGTATTTTAAAATTATGATCTCAATTATGTAAAAAAAAAAGAAGAGATAAATTAAAAATAGATGTAATGTAGATAATATTTTCCAACTATAAATTTCAAGCAAAATATTTCTTTTGAGGATCTACTTCGTGAGTTTAAAAAAACATACATACGTAAATTGTTTTTTTTTTTAACTTGTAGTAAACAACGCGCAATCGCTATTGATAATTTCGTAAAAAAAAAAAAACTTTAATTCCTAAACCAATTTGAAAAAACTTCCGATAATATTCGGATATCCCGCGTATACATTTAATAAAAGAATTGCACCGAGATACTATACATTATTAAGAGAGGACTAGTACACACAGCATCTGGCCCAAATTTGTTAAATTACTAGAACTGCGCCGCCACTTTCTCTGTTTCTTTCGTTTACAATTTTCTTGCAACACTAAAATAGTTTATTCATCCATATATGCTTTCCACATATAAGTATCCACAAAACTCGTTATTACGTGATTTGTTGTTTTATAATTTTTCATTACCCGGTCAGCAATTCTAAATTATCAATAATCCGAAGCGCGATTTATATAAATCGGGAGAGAATATAAATTTCAATAGAACGCTTTCAAACATTTCTTTCCATCTCTTGAGATATAAAATATTCCTATTTTTTTTTTTTTTTTAACAAATAAAATATGTTTCAGTGTACAACAGTAGTTGTTATATAATAATTGTATTACAATAACAAAGATTGTTATATTTATTATAGTTGTCTTTCTCTCTGTCTTTCTCTCTCTTTTTCACTAGCACATAAAATTATAAACTTACAAAATCTGTATTTTTCTCTAGGAAAAATTTTATTATACAGATAAAAAGTATATTATATATAGATATATAAGTGCACTTTCTTAGATATATCTGTGCAAAGTAATTTCCATCAGATTTAATAAAAGCATCGAGAGTTTTTGGTAACACGTACATAGTATACGATTAATGCATAAACCGAGTTATGCAAATCGAGAAGAGATGTAGGAAAAAAAAAAAAAGTAAGAGAGAAATAGAAGAAGATACATGATACAATATGAAAAGCAGAAATCTAAAGATATTGGATGGATATATTCATACTATGATACAAGTTCGTCAAATACATATACATATATGTATGATGTATCTTTAAAAAGCAAGTGATCATCTCGGATTGATTATGTTACTGCTTGCACACTGAAAACACAATCTCCATGTTACATTTTTTATTTCATTGATCGAAAAACTCATGAGCGTGTTCGTAGAGAAACGGATTAGGAGAATAGCATATTTTAAAAATAAATAATTTGTAAAGACTTCTTTCCCCATTGGAAAGATTTGAGATTCCCAAGGAGACTTCGAGTAGTTAATTAAAGCACTATTTGAATACGCATTCACAGTTGCATTGCACGCGCTAAACGAATAGCTGTTCTGTCTATCTTCGTAGATATACAGATATGCACTCACGCTACAAATTTTCACGTGTCATCTCCGCTGACGTAATTTATCAGAAAGATTGCATATTTTTTCTTTTTTTTTTTTTTTTTTGCTGCCCCAAATGATATCACATTCTTAGTTGAGCAGTAAAGCTTTCTCAATCTTAACAAGAAATGGGACTATCTGTTAGTTTGAACACCAAGTCTCACGATTCTCTGCTAGTAACAGTTGTATCTGGTATGGGCCAGTAACGGCGACACCTGTAATTTTATTATATTATTTGCAACACACATTCGTCAAATTATATTACAAAATTTTTAAGTAAATTTAGTTTTTGTAAATGACACACTTATACACACAGTGCAACTAATCCATACCTAGCGTTATTCTCTGCTATGTGTGGTGGCAACGATGTGGGCGGTGGAGGCGGTTGACGAGCGGATCTTGGTGGTCCACTGCTATTGGAATCGCTTTCGCTGCTCTCCTCGGATTTCTTACCAGGTTCTCGTAGAAGATGGGAAGGCACTCCTCTCGGAGAAAGCCTCGGCAATATCTCGGACTGCGGTCGCGTTCTGTGCTGTGGTCTTTGAAATTGGAGATTCAGCTGACTAGCGTCTGTCACATATTTTTCACTTTGTCTTCGGCGGCGCAAAGCGGGTGTGCATCCGGTTAAATTTTCATCTTCGGCAGAGCTGGCTGAAGTTAAAGGTGATATGATTGGTCTAGGATCAAATAATGGCATGCAAAGACAATAGGCGCGCTGGAGTTTTTCCACGTTTTTTTTTTTTTTTTTTTTTTTTTTTTTTTTTTTTTTTGACGTTCTACGCGAAAACGCTTCTTGCTTTTTGGAGTATTATTGGAAGATTATTATCAGAAACATATATATACATAATCGGAACAAAACCTGTTCTCACATTTTTTTTTTTTCCTATGCATTTCAAAGTAATTTACTAATTTCTCTCATCCGGATGAAATTCCATCACAAGATATAACAATAGGAAATATTTAACAAGACTTTTAAGAAACGATATCAATTTTTATCACAATACATACGCGTCGTTAGACACACAACTAAAACCATAAACTAGATATATAAATATCAGATACATATATATCTCGCGACATTTTCTCTAAAATCAATATTATTATATATATATAAAAACTAACAAACATAACAATATGGATATAAGTTTGTGTAGCATAGCTTTACTAACTATTCTCCTTTTCCTTAGTTGCGATCGCGGGCACCGACAGTTTTTCTATGTCACTTCCAGTTCCTGCCTTGATATGCGGAGTATTCGACTCGGGCATTGATTCGGATAGCGAACATCTTGGACTCTTAACGGGAACCGGAATTTTACTAGTCATATATGTCCTACTAGATGTTTCCTTTTCTTTATTGTCCTTATTATCACGATGTGGTATTGCGTTTGGTACCGTCGTCGAGGCAGTAGTGACACTAGTCGACTCTTTTTGCAAACCGGCATTTGCGGCCGGTCGATTTTCGGTAGCATCGTAATATACAGACGGTTCTTCTGGCCCCGGATTGGGACTGGCTGGGCTACCTGCTGTGCCGTTAGCTAGTTTCTCTGTGAATTCAGACAACACGTGTACCTCTGAATACAAAATAGAAACGTGACGGCTTATTTTGACGGAAATTTGAACGAGAATACAAGAAAGCAAATCGATTTGCACGTACTTTGTAACGGTTCTCTGTCAGCACTGGTTTGTACAATGGTAGCACCACCGGTCGCGTCCACCACTCTGATTTCCAATCTCCCCGCCACCGCTTCTTCCTCTTCGTCACCCCTGGGAGCGTTGAACATTGCGTCAGAAAAGGAGAAAGCCACTGCCGGCAAACTGGATCTTCTGACCGACGCGGTTTGTCTCGGCTCGTCGTATCGAGTGGCGACATTTCTCATAACATCAACTTCGTACAGCAAATCGTCAAACGCCGCTTGTTGAACCTGTCGGAATTTGTTTGTTAAACCCGATCAACGATACCGAATCAAATAAAAGCTCAATACGAACCAAAGGAGCTTCGAGATAAGCCCGAACGTGCGGCGCTAAAACCGGAACGCTCCAAGCCCGCGGAAGTGCTCCTTGCAGTTCGGGATATTTTTCGATACCCGCGATATTCAAGCATCTGTGTGGCACAACCGGTCTCGGCGAATCTTCGCTTATTTTCGATAGCGCCGTAGGCATCAGCGACTGCTGGTGATACACATTTGGCGGATTCGGTTGAGCCGCGCTGGATTTTACATTCGCGTTTGGCTGTTGCGAACTCTCAACGATACCTGCGGTCTGCGCGCATACAGTTACGTAAATTTCGAGCTTTATTCAAGCATATTGTACGTAAGACGCTTTTGCTCGCGTCTAAATGTTTCTGTTATATCGAATGCGAATTTCTTACTTGTGGCGCTATAGACGGGGCGTTTGTTCCCTTGTGCTCGGGGCTCTGCAAATTTTCACCCTTCCATTCGTTGTCGGTCTCCTCGGAATCGTCAAACTGCGACTTCCACTGTGAGGCTAGGGTCAATCCTCCGCCGCCTTTGGTCACTTGCTGCAAAGCGGACACATTGTCGTCGTCTATTTGCGCGAATTGTGTGATGGAACAATCGCGCACAGCCGAACGTCCGCCTCTTATTTGTTGCCGACTGTCCGCTCTCCTCCTGGGTTCTCTTCTGAGCGGTTCCCTTTGTTCGGTTACCTGTCAAAATCAATTGGACGCGCAAACGGTTTTACAGTCCGTTGGAATTGCGGTGCAATCTGCCGCATCGAATCACACGCACACTCACCGGGCTTTGGTTTCCGATATATTTGGTATTGGTGACGTCATAGGAGCAATAAGAGGCGTCGACTTCCGTTTGTATACGAGGGCTCGGCAATTCGCCGGAAGTTCCTTCGGGTGTAGCAATGCGCAGACGGGCGAGTGTAGCTGGCAATGTGGCTCCGCTCGCTGACTTCCTGAGCGGCGCGGTTGCATTGGTCACGGTTTTGTGGCGAGGAACTTCGGATGCGGAACGTGCGGAAGCCATCAGAGCGTCTCCCTCGTTATCCACTTGCTTTTCCACTGACGGGGGAGGTTGAGATTCTACAGCCATCGAGACAGCGCGTCGTTTTTTCGGAGATCCTGCGCGATGAATGACATTAAGACGTCATTACGTATGCAACAAGAAAGACAGACACTTGAATGAAGAGACAAATTTCCTTTACCTTGACTTGGTAAAGGTGGCATAGTCTGCTGCGCGACCTGTTGATGCGTGTTATCGGTCGTTGGCACCGTGGCATTGCAATTTTTGTCCCTGCCGTGATTGCTGATAGCCGCTGCGAATGGCACTGGAGAACCTTCGATTCCACGCTGCCTGTTTCTTCTGTATAAACTTTCAATGTCCAATTGCGCCTGCGGATAACGTGTCATGCGTATTAGAAAAAGAGATATAGACTTTTACTTCTTTAAGAAATTTCTTAAAAAAAAATGCGTAAAATTCTTTAGAAAAATTCAAGATAGAAGACATACAAAATGTCTTACATCCAGCTCTTTTCTATTGTCTGGCTCCACATTCTCTTGATTATTGGTGTCGACGTTCGTGGTCGGAGGTTGATTGATCGTAGTAGCTGTGGTAAGCGGTGGTGGTACAGCTACTGTGGGTAACGATCTAGTAGTTGATAAACCTTCATTAGCTATCAAAGGTCTTTCCCAATCGTAAGGATCATTCGGTTTTACACCTCTACGTTTCATACATCGTTCAAGCAGTCCAGCTAACATACCGTAATCTGGCTTGTCTGCATACTCCAAACTCTACAAGAAGTTTTTCGAGATGATTTTTTATTTGCACAAATATAAAAATCTCGTCGTGCGTTTAGAAAACTATCAAGAATTGATTGCAGAAAAAAAAAAAAAAAAAGAAAAAAACCAAACTGTACGTATACTCTTGTCTATATTGACGATGCAATTATGTAAAAATACTATTCCGTTGAATGAATTGTTTAAATCAATTACCTGGATATGCTCTAGAAAGACTCGCAAATCAGATGGGAGATGTTTTAGAAGTAATCGATGGTCATACTTTTCTTTCATAAGACCCACCTGCAAAGAAAGATGTTGTACAAAGTTGTTATCAAACTGTTTTTTTTTTTTTTTTTACTCCTTCATAAGACAACTCTTTTTTTGTCCTTTTTCGCGTATATGCAACAAAACTCTACTCACTTGTTCTTTATCTTTTATTTTTCGCCACGGCAATTGTCCGTTAACAAATTCAACTAACATGTAAAATAACGACCACAAGTCATCGTGTCGACCCATCTCTTTATTCTTGTGTGCATTAACTGACGCGTATCGGACGGTTCCCCTAAATCCCGCGGCAGCGCGGGGCGGTCGCACTTCTCCAGTGCCGGTAGTGAATTGTCTAGCTAGACCGAAATCTAACATATACACTAGCCTGCAGTTGTAAGGATGACGACCGATCGAAAAATTTGACTGCAAAAAAAAATTATTATTATTTATTTAAAGAAGTCATACCTTACATCGGTAGAATGACATCTTTGATTCAGATATTTAATCAAGAAATTGATTTGACGTGTATAGTTGGAAGAAAAATACAAGTTACAGATTATCTGACATATATATGTGTGTGATATGTGACTAAATTATATGTAAAAAATACATACTTACAGGTTTAATATCTCTATGTAAAAATCCTACTTGATGAATACTTTCTATAGCTTTTAATATTTGAAGACCAAGGCGTAACGTAGTAGAAAGTGAAAAAGCACCTCTCGGCTGCGCCCTGCGCAATTCGGCTAAATTCTTTCCTTGTAACTGCATCACCACGTAATTGAATCGATCATTACGCCCACAGCCGATAAATCGACAAACATGATCTTTACCTGCAACAATTTCAATTTCTCCACGATAAAAACAAAAACAAAAACAAACAAAAAACAGACTACTTGAACAAACGTCTTAACTTACTCACGCAAACGCGCAAATCTTAATCTAACAATACAAATGCTTCGCACAAACCCTGCAATTTTTTAAGTACAGCCACTTCCATCTTCAAGACTTGTTTGGGCTGCCGTGCGGATTCAACTTTAAGAGCGACTTGCTCCTTTGTCATTAAATCAAGTCCTTCGTAAATTTCCCCAAATCCACCTCCGCCTATTTTTCTGACCTACATTTGAGACACATACACGTTTCTTTAACACATTACAGCCTGCCTGTGTGTGTGTGTGTGTACTTTTATTGAAATTAAAACTGTTTATATTGATCTAAAAATATTGTTTCCTTTTGAATCAGACATTTCTGACTTTCTTCGCAGTAACATCGAGAAACACACGCACACACACAGTATACAAGAGATTTCCTTTTTTTTTTTTGGTTTTTTATTATATAAAATATCTTAAACTCACCACTTTCCAACGTTCTTTGACCACATGGCCAGGCTGTAACAAATCCTCGCTCGTCATAGTTATGTTGTTATTTTGATCCGTGCTTTCGTCGCCTACATTCCTCAACACCAAATCTTCTGAATTTGTAGGCCTAAAAATATCACATCTCATAAATATAACATGCGTACGTAAATATATAAAAATTTGTACGCGCGTGTGACGGAGAGTTGTCAGAGAGCGTGCGGTGACAGCGCGACGCTAACGACGACGTATCGTGAGCTGTCAGTGAGCGCGACAAAGACAAAAAAGAGAGAGAGAAAAAAAAAAAGAAAAGAAAACACTTCACGAGAGGCTTTTAACCTAAAGTGACATTTGATGAAAATTAGTCAATATGCGCCTTGTGCTAGGCAGCCATGATTGCGTGCGAGCGAAAGGTGTTGCCGGTGCTGCAGCAGCAGCAGCGGAGATGATTCTCATTAAAATCAGTCCTGAGCCAAACCTCGATATTTTATCAGCGAGAGTCATTCGTCCGCTCGTTTAATTAATTTCTTTCTCGTCGCATCGAATTGTAAAATCTGTAATCGAGCGCTAAGATAAGATTTTTAAAACAAAACTCACCGCAACTAACGGACACCACAACAACCGAGCGAGACTTTGTCGTGCACGCACGTTCTCGATTCTTTTCACTATCTCGACTGGCTGTGCTGACGAGTCGACGGACGACCATTGCGAATGGATTTGTACGTGTACGATGTTGAAAAAAAATTAAAATAAAATAAACTAAAAAAATGTAAAAAAAAAAAAAAAAGAAAATTGAGAAAAAACGGCCCTTTCCACCCGGCTGTGGAACGAATTAATTGGGACGGGGGGTTGCGAGCGGGGGGAAATCAGCGACAAGTGTAAAATTTCGCCAAGAAGAGATTTCCGCGTGCAAATTATTTCACTCCCGCCTGCGACAGCGAGATCCAAATATAATGGTACTTTATTTTTACTAACAATGTCGTCTGCTAGGATCACACTGCTCTACGGCGCGACGTGTTACACACCGACGTACAACTACTCTCTCTCTCTTTCTCTCTCTCTCTTTCTTCGGCGAATAAATCTCGTCGCACAACGGCGCGCGGCTCACAAATTTTTTTTCCCCTCTATCACTGTTCCATCGTTCGCCGTTTTCCGTCGGCCCGTCCGTAACCCGCGCAACGATCGCGAATTGGTCGTTCCGCAACCGACCGAAACGATCAGTCTTGGCGGCTACCACCGCAAAAGTTCCCGTCAAGCGCTCGCGGGACAGCCATTTTTCCATTTCGCATCGTGTCGCACCGAGTACGGGGGAATCATCGGTTAGTTCCCGAAAATCACTGGCAGATAGAGCGCGCGGCGAGGCGCCGATCGATGCATTTCTGTTTCCCTTTCTTGAATCGCGCTCTCCTCTTCTATTTTCGCGCCCGCGCCCGCGCATCTCGTCTCTCTCTCTCTCTCTCTCTCTCTCTTTCTTTCTCATCTCTCTCTCTATCTCGCCTACTTATTGGTAATTAATATTCCCGTAGATCTTGCGCTCTCTTTTTAATTGTGAGCGAGCATTATTATACGCGCGTCAAAGCGTGTATGACGTATATAATAAATTGGTTTCCTTCCGTGTGTGATATCGGAAACGAGATTGTTATATTCACACAAAGACGAGAGATGGAAGAGACATACGGTTTCACATGTGTCCATATAGTTCTCTCTCTCTCATCACATGATGCCACGTGTGGGTGGGAATTGTGTGAATTTACATCACGACTCTCCCACGCGAGAGTCGTTAATCGTATTGACATTAATTGCATATCTGTTTTTTTTCTTTTTCTTTTTTTTACGGATGTTAATCACGACATTCTCGTTTTGCACAAAAGGTAGCTTTAAGAGAGAGAGAGAGAGAGGAAGATAGAGGTGATGTGTGTGTGAAAATTAAAAAATTATACAAAGTACAATAATTTAAATCAAACGTATGTGTTTTTTTTTACAAGTTTGTGTTTTTTAATTCGACGACTTCCGATCCTTCGGCGATATCCTTCTCGTTTTATATTTTGAGATGCAAAGCGCTTAAAATATATACAAAATTTTGACCGCTCGCTCGCGGCTCCCTTTGCTAGAGGGCATAATTTAAGTTTAAACATCTATTTTTAAACGACCCCACTCGGCATATAATACACACTGGCATATCTTTCTTCTCGGCGAGACGCGGAGAAACTTTTTCCAACTCTTTTTCAAACGCATTTGTCGTTATTTCAATTTGTTTTTTTTTTCTCTCTCTCTCTCTCGTACTCGCGAGATGCATGCGATCGTTCGCCCACCCCCGCGTGTAAAAAACAAGTCATCGTTACCAATTGTTACCAATTTCAAAGCAATGCACAATCGCTTTATTATAACCGCCTCTCGGATTATGCAATGAAGACACTGTGTTTCATTTACTCCACACGCAGAGATTACATAGAAACAATGACTGAGATTGATTATTGAATTATAAAATTATGCCAAATCGAAGCTCAATCAAGCATTTACTCGTCTTGTTGTTCTTTTTGTTAAAAAAAAAATAAAATTTTTTAACAACAAGAGACGATCTCGACCGCGTGCAGTTGCACCGACTGTGCGATGCAAATTGTGAATAAGGTCCTCGATACTAAAATAGACGTAGTTTGCAATTATATTGACGTGTATATAGAACATTTAAAATTTCGCACGTGCCACTTCATCAATTACTCGTCTCGCTTTTTGTATCGCCGACTCGCTCGAACGAATTCTTTTTTAACATTTCAAACAAGCAAACGAGACTACAAGCATACTCTGGCGCATAAAGTTTCTTCAGCTCAAGTTTATTAAGATGTTAGGCGGCTTAGCACAAAGTTGTTAAATTTATTAAAACATTTAACTTCTTTTTTTTTTTTTTCAAGAAAAGTTATGTCATCAGTTTCTTTCAATTTTGACGCACGTATACGTGTGTCAATGCGTTATGTGTTCGCTACACGGCGCGTTTTGTTTCCTTGCTATATACACACAACACCTCACAAAGTTTAATTAGATATCGGGAAGTATTTCAAAACGCACATTCTCAAGTTTAACGTTCTGGCAATGGCTTGTAATTCATATACGAGAAACACGTATTTTAGGAACGATATATGCTTGGGAGAGCGAGCGCGTATATTTGTACGCGCTCGCTCCAAACAACAAATGTACACTTTTCCGGGTTTTATTAACGCGTTCACAAGATTTTGCGCAAAATTACATGTAATTTTATGTACGTGTAGAAAATTTACAGCGACACATACATATATACCAATGAAAACAAAACACACACACACACACGCAATTCACAAACAACGTTAAATCAGTGAGAAAAGTATATCGTGAGTGCGTTACGTACCATTTCATGATTTTTGACGAAAAACGAACGGGAAACGCGCGTGCAAAAAAAAAAAAAAAAAATAACGCGACAATCGTCGTTATATATTTCACGTAGATCCGAGTGGAATGTCTGGTACACGCCGCGCGCGTGTTTGGGGCAAAAAAAAAAAAACAAAAAAAAACAAAAAAAAACAAAAAAAAACCGAACAGAAAAGTCTCAGGTTTTTCGCATGAGTTTCACCGAATGAATTCCCGTGTCCGAGGAGAAACCGAATCTAAAACGTGTGTCGAGCCGGCGTGGTGCAAATTCACCTCCCTACGAATCGTTCCTCCGTTTCCGACTCCGGAGCCCAGACTCGAATCATAACAGCACTTCGCACTCTGGCGTCGGACACGGCGGACTCGGCAAAGAACGTTGAGGATCCACGTTGGTTCATCAACCCCCCTGCGCGCAACCACTTCTCTCTTCGTCTCCTGATAATCCCCTCTTACGAAGCATCTCTCTTTCGAGCCCCGCCGAGGCTTTCTTCACACGCGCGCAAGCTATTTTGTATTCCATATCTCGCGAGCGCGACGTCGTTACACGCGCGTGTCATTGCTCTGAAAATTGTGTAAGATTTCAAGAATCACTTCTTTGTTAAAAAAAAAAATAAAAAACACACATTACTCGCTGACATCAAAAACGTCACGACGTGAGAAACCTGTTGTATCTTGCAAAAGAAAACCACGTCAAATATCGCGCTAAAAGCCAAGATATGACATTGGTTTTTTTGCATGTGATATTCATTTTAATATCTTACCGGGTGCAAACGTGAATTTTGTTTGTGATTTTTCTATAATAGTTCCTTTTATTCAAAACTGTTTATCGGTTACTTTTAATGCAAAACTTGATTGAGAAAAAAGTTTAGCTACCAGTTCGTGGGGAAACATTTTTTTGTTTTGGAGTAAGTTACAGCAATTTTAGGTGCATATTTTCTGATCGTCATCATCCGAAATGACTGAATGAACGTCTCTGAAGTTCGTAATCTGCACATGACGGTATACGACGAGTTTGTTTGGTATCGCACACAGCTCGACAGGGTCGATACTCTGATGCACATACGTGATTTTATCTTTACATTTAGATATTGTCTGAAGTTCATCTCGAGATGCTGTAAATTTTCACGATATTCTTTCTTTGTTATTGAGAATTAAAACAAAAATCAGATAATTTTTTTCAATATTTACTGAAAAATAAAAACAATGTCGTACATGTAATAAGCTTATAGCCTGCGTCCACGACGACCTCCTTTTCTTCTGGTTGAGTCCGATGGAATAGGAGTAACGTCTTCGATACGACCGATTTTCATGCTTGAACGAGCTAAAGCGCGCAAAGCAGACTGTGCACCTGGACCAGGAGTTTTCGTCTTGTTACCTCCCGTAGCTCTCAATTTGATATGCAACGCTGTAATCCCTAGAGATTTGCATTTTTCTGCAACATCCTGTGATGATAAAGAGTTATGTTAACATACTTTTTTTTTTGTAACTTTAATTACCTGCTTATCAATTAATAATTATTGTTATATGTACATAAATAACAATAATTAGTATCTGACATTAGTACCTGAGCTGCCAACATAGCGGCATAGGGTGAGGCTTCATCGCGATCAGCTTTTACCTTCATACCACCTGTAACTCTCGCGATTGTTTCCCTAAATTCAAAAAACATAAATTTTAAATCCTACAATAACGTGGAAAAACTCGAGTTTGACACAAAACATATACAAACCTGCCGGACAAATCGGTAACATGTACAAATGTATCGTTGAAACTGGCAAAAATATGGGCAACTCCGAAAACTACCTCTCCCTCACGAAGTTGCGGTCCAAGTGATACTTGGACTTCTTCCTTTTGTACTTTGCCTCTTTTCGGTGGCATTTCTAAATAAAAACAGTTTTAACACTTGTTAATAAATGTTCTGTGTTGTGTAATTTTGAGACGAATTTTACAAAAACATTTGGAGGGTTATGACAGGCACAAGAGAAACATATTATTGTTAGAACATAAAACACTTTCACCTATTTGTATACCTTTAAATATAAGATCAATCTCACAGTAATATTTTACTTGTAAACATCTATTAACAGTTTTAACACATTGGACACGTTACTATTTCGCTAGATAATAATTTTATTAACACTTACCGTTAAAGTATTTGCGGACTACAATGACGCGTTTTAATGAATGCACCGTGGGATGCGCAGTAGCAGCCAATCAGAAGTAAGAACCTAAAGTTCGATACATTCGATATTCGGTGTTCGATAAAAAGATACAAACTCAATGCCGTACAGGGCACCGTCAACGCGCAATCAGGTAGGCAATAAAATTTTTATTTAGAATTGCAAAAGTTTTTAAAAACAAACAAGTTACTTTGTTTTTTTTTTTTTAATCGCATTTTTATTGAAGCACAAAGTTCTTCCATATACATACATATGTGTCTACAAGTAATTTTTAGCAACAATAAAGAGAATAATTTATATAATTTATATTTAACCACCTTTTAAATACAATCTTTGTATGTACCATGACACAAATTTTGCACCCTAAAGAAAATTTCATCACGTCGAAAATTATACATACGTTTAATCAATCTTCAACGAGAAAAAAAAACAAAAACAAAAAAAGAAACACAATAATTAATAATAATACGCGAAAAAAATCCCTTCGATATAAAAGTGAAGAATTGAGTTGTTAATTAGGTAAAGAGAAAGGAGAAACAATTATAGACTCGTGTCATTAACCGCAATACAGGAAGCTACTCAAAGAAAATTTCCATCTTCAGGAAATTCTTCGTAGGACATCGTTAATATACATAGAAGGATTTCTTATATCTTCTAATAAGCCTGCAAATATAATAAAATTACATATATATAAAATTTTTCATTTTTTAAGCCGTTTAACTATTGTCCAATAAAAAAAAAAAAAAAAAAAACTCGCTTGAACGCGTTACTCACCAACAATATCGCAAAACTCTTCAAACGATGTGCACGGTAGTAATTCATCGCGGTACGATGATAGCACACGTTCCGAAGCTTTTAACATGGCTTCGTCATTGTGTCTGATATATTCAGCCAAAACCGAAGGCCACTGGTCGTCGGATAAAACATAAACTTTCTACAATCGTGAGAAAAAAACGTTTAAATAAATATTAAATAATCGTCCGCGGTAAAAATATGATGAATTTAAAAATTTTGCAAACCTTGAAGAAGTTTGTATAAATGGCATCAACCAAACCGAAGAAGATTAAGGTACTCTTGTAAACGTTGTAATCCTTGGCGGTTGGCTCCGCGATGGTCTTCGTAGTGGCTGACGGAGACACGTAACGTTGATGCGCAAGAACCAGTAATCGATTTAGATGCGTAAGTCTGTGCGATTTCCATCGAGCGGGCGTATGCAAGAGCAACGAAAGCGTGCATTGGTATAAAGGACCCTCGGCTTCGTAACAACTGTCGAGCCACACCGAGCTAGACGGTTGATCCAGATAGGTCATCAAAGCTTTATCTTCTCTCGCTGCCGATCGTGTTCTGAAAAATCACATAAACAATTATTACTTATTATAATTTAATTACTTTACAATTTTTATGAAGTGTCGAAAGATACTCACGTATTGATGACATACAAAGCCATGTGTATTAAATACGGTACTATGTGCATGTTAGACTGAGGACCACCGCCGCCGGTGTCCTCGTGAAAGCTCTTCTCCTGAGCGAAGCGCAAGAGAAGCAGCTTCAAATCGTGAACGGTCGATGAATAGGATATATCGCGATGACTAGTACATTCTTGTAGATAAGTATTATGCCTCGCCAAACAGCTGGCGAAAGCAGACTCCGGAACCAGCGGACCCCATAAAGGCAACAGTCCGTTGCACTTTGTGTTGGCGTTCTGCAGCGCAGCGCTTTCCCACTCGTCTCTGGCGCGAGCCAAACGTACCGCGGCCATGTGGCAATCCACGTGAACCACGTTGAAGTGCGTGACAGTTGTGTAGCCTACGGTTTTACGTTGTTTCGTTTCGAACTCCTCCACGTTGCAGCGTTTTGTGAACGTGTAAATGCCTAACACCTGCAACGAATAAAATCAAATCAGCAAAAAACACACATTAGAACGAAAGAAGTCACACGCAGCCAAAAATCTTATCAATTTCACGATTATTCTCTCTTGATGTATTTATTCTTAGTTTATTTTATATAAAAATAAGAGCATACGTTACCATATTAGGTTTGAATTCGTATCCTTCGCGACAGATCACGCATATCAGTCCAGTCTCATCGCCCAGATCCTCCATTTGCTGAAGGATTGTCCCGCTGGCAGTGACCTGGCCTTTGTCGTTCGTCTGCATACCAAGTGCGCCCAATTGCCTCTCGCGCATTGCCATAGCCAAGCGTTTCTTCTCGCTACGTGTGTGCTGGCGAGCTTCTTCGATGAGCTCGGCTACTCGCTTATTAGTGCACAATGCTTCCAAAAGATTCTCCGCTAGTGAGCCGACGTGCTCATTTGAGGACACCTGTTCCAGTCTATGAATTATGCTAATAGTTACTTGAGAAACTGCCAACTGCAACATCAAGAAGCGACATGTTAGATCAAAGTGTTAGATCAACGAGAATCGCCATTTTTATTGATAAAAGAACAAACTGCCGTTTTACCTGCGTAGGTTCGTGATCCGTAGCTAATCCCGTGAGGAATCGTAGAATATATTTCAAAGCTGGTTTAGATATAAATTCTTTTAATTCGTCACTATCTGTACGCAAGAGCGTAGGTTTAAAGCACGGCGCATGTACCTAACAAACAAAAATAAAAGAGGTTTTACGTAGCACATATTATATTTAATTTTATTTAATTTTTTACTTACGGTAATATATTCAAAAGCATCTTTCACGATTCCCATGTTTATAATGTAATCCTTCAGCGTATTGCCAATTGCGTTTCGTTCAATGCCTTGAGTGAGTATGCAGAAAAGCTCTAGCTTCTGCTCGTCCTCCGGCGTGTGTTCAAAATCGAATTTGTAAAAGTTCAACACAGGCTTGAAGTAATCACACAACAACGCCATTTTTTCTTTATTGCCGTAAGTCAACGCTGCCAAAACTCTGGCAAGATGTGCGAGCACGCTCGCACTTTGTCTGACCGCCGTGGACTGTGTGCACGACAGGAGCGCCTTAATGTGTTCCGGGCCGCCGAGAGTACGCGAGAATGCTTCGAATTCGCTAAACGATTGCGATGCCGCGTTCGCCAATATTGTTTCCATGATCTGAAATCGAGATTATCACATTCATTGTTGACATCGCTCATAGTATCGCCAATATCGTACAGACGTTTTTCTTTGTACTTACGTCCAATAATTGTTCGGTGATTTTCGCTTGAGAATTTTCCGACTCCGTAGCAAGACAACGCTGAAGAACGTCCAAAAACACAGTGACCGCTCCTAATTCGGGTTTGCTTAGAACCTCTTGATTCTTTTTGACCTTCACACACAATCTGAACAATTTCAGTAACACTTGGAGAAGCGGCCTCGCTCGATTGATATCGTGTATCGCCGCTAATCTGTCCAGCATAACTTGCAGACCGCCGCAGTCCGCCAATACATTTGCCATTTTATAAACTTCCTCATTGTTCACCTCCTGTTCACTGCTAGCGTTCAAAGTCTCGACGAATTCCTCGGTTGCGTCTCCGAGAAGACCGCGCATGCGATATATCACGCGCATTGCGTCACACTCGCCACCTTCCAGCATCCAGATCTTCTTGTAAACCTAGACAAACAGAAAATATAACGTAAAATTCTTGACGATTATAATTCTTGAACGTATTTCTCACATCAAAAACTGGTAAAAGCCTCTTACTTCTTTAACGGGAAGATCCAGACTGATGATTTTGTTGTTGACGAGAAGTTCCATTCCGTTATCGTCTTCCAAAAGTGCGACCAACTCGCAATCTTGACAAATCTTATTTTTCACGTCTCTCATAAGTGGACCGAGTCCAGGTTCCAAGCTACTGTAAGGATTTCCCAACATTCTTCCCTATACAAACAGAAAGAGAAACGAATACATATCGTCTGTGTGAAAAAAATCTTTCTAAGACAAGCAGACGAGATCTCACTTGCAAGAAGTCTTCTTGTTGAGGATCTTTTTCGAGCGTCAAGAAAAATTCTCCGATATCGTTCTCTTCCGGATAAATGATCGAACACAATCTCTCAAATATGAATACCGGAGTGCGAATATCTTGAGGATTCTGTTTCTGTATCGTTTCCACACAGATTGCCATGAACGCCTTTGTTTCCTCTTCGGTACCTAATGACACGACGAATGAACAATGTTGTTTCAATACGAACATTACGATTAGAAAATATCAAAACGCAGAAAACTACCTGAAGTCATTTCTTCTAAAAGCTCCAGTAATTTCTCCTGGGTATCGTCGATCAGTCTGGTACGTTGAACGACGAGTCTTCTGAGCGACAGATAACCGTTCAAAACCGCGCCGACCAATCGACCTTTGTATTGTTGCTTAATGTTTTCTTGCTCCAAGAAAGTCGCCAACAATTCTGTGAGCATCTTCAACGAATATCCCTGAGCCAGATCGCTGGTTAAGGTGGTTTCTTCGAGGCGATGCAACTCTTCTATTTCTCGGGTCAAGAGATCCGCCAATAGAGTCATCACACCGCGCACCGCCAGAAATTGTTTCCAAGGCGACTGTCTGATTAAGCTTTGATACAACGTGAGAAACTCGGTACTGCTCTCGCCGGCAGTACGTAGCTCTTCTAAATAGCACGTAAGAAGAACCAGAACCTCCTTCTTTCTCTCTGTGCCTTGGCACAAGCTCTCGATCATGTTGCAAGCGACCTGTCGCGCCAGTCGTGAACTGGGATTGAAGAGAACCTCCTTCAGCCAAGCTCCGTCGGATAATTTCAGCGGCTGAACGCCGTGATGTCTTATGCAACGTTGATGCCACCTGTGACCGTATTTTTCCATCAGATACAACACTCGAGCTTCCTCTTTCTTGAGAGGTTTGTTGGCGGCTGATTCCGTTTTCTTAGTCGGCATGCGACGGAGCCACTCGGAATACGAATGTTTTGGATCGCCACTGATCCATTTGCCCACATCAATACTGATGCCTTCAGGCGGTTGCACCGTCGCCAGAGACTCGATCGTTTTATCTTTATTTTTCTTGGATATAGGTTGATCGGGTTTAATGAGTCCTTGCAAGATCTTCAGACACGGCAGTATGATGCTCTCCATTACAACGGGATTCTTCGATTCCTTACAAGCCGTTAAAAACAACTGCATTACGCAGCGTAACTTCTGTTCCCAGCACGAGTCCTCCTTTTGCACGAGCGCCGCGAGAAGAGCCATTTCGTGTCTTACGGCAACCGAAAGATCGGGAGTGGCGACGCGTCCGCGGAGCGTCAGCGTGATTCGATTAGTCAGAAGCGAACAGATCTCCTTCGTCGATTGCGCGTTGTCTCTCGTCACAACGCAAAGTAGTTGCCGCACTTCCTCTTGCATCTGCACCGTTCCCTTTCGCAGATTGTGTTCCACGAGTTCTTGAATCAGTCCCTGTTTGCACAGAACGTCTCTGGCTACGCTGTTGGTTGCCAAAGCGCGTAACAACGTCAGACAGTGTTCCGTGGCGGCGGACGCGCAACCGTAACAGCGTCCAATCGGTGAGATTATGGGTTCGTCCTTCGTAACGTCGTTCGCGCTGGTTGTGCCGTACGACTGCGAGCTGCCGCTGGTCTGACCCCGTTGATTTCTGTCGTACGCGACGAGCTCCTTGCGACAAGCTAGAACGCGTTGAATAATCTTGCTGAGCTCCTCGAAAGAGGTCTTGCATTCGCCGCAGTATCTCTGTGCGAGCAACTGAATCGCTTTGTTCACAGAGATGCAGGTACTGCCGGAAACCTGCAGACCATCTTCCAATCCACGATCCAGACGATGTTCGGATATCTTGATGAGAAGCATTTCCAGTGTCGGTTTGTTGGATATTAAAGTTTTGTACACTCTGTCAGCTTTTTCCAATAAAGTGTTGATGGTTGCCACCGTCTTCTTCCGATCGTCGTCGTTCTCTATGGGATCCACGGCGCAACACGGTCTGCCGGTTAAGGAATAGTCAAACTTGGCGTACTTGCAGAAGCCACAAGCGTGACACAGGAACGGATCTTTTTCGTCGTAATTGATCGCTCGACACTTGTGACACTGGAACACGTTCTCGCCGCAATTCGCACAAATGCCAGGATTCGCGGGCACGCTGGCGGAGCATCGCGGACATTGCAACGTCTCGGACGAGGCCTGAATGTTCTCGTAGAAATCGGCGTATTCGATCATGAGATTGCAGGCTACTATCGGCAACGGGAACTCCATCTTCACCTCCGTCTGACCCTGAGCGAGCGTGATCTTCTTCGCTTTGTGCCACATCGACGGTTTGTTCTTCAATTCCACGACAGCCTGCACCGATCGATTGTTGTAATAGATGTTGATGGTGCGAACCATTTTTGTTCTCTTCAAATCGCCTATACGTAGAGTGATGCGACTGATGGTGTGACTCCCGACCAGTTTCACGATCTGCGTCGTCGTCGTGAACTTGGAATCCACCTTGATCGACGACAGCTTGATGGTCGCCATCGGCACTTCCGGATTGTTACACACAAGACAGGGCTCGCTCTCCAGATAATAACCGTCCAATTCGACGAATTGCGCTAGATTTACGTAGAGATTGGCGTTGGGGTGACGCGCGAGCAATTGATTTTGCGCGTGCAACACGGCAACCGCCTGCTCCATGTACGTGTGCATCTTCTTTCCGGCGTGGGGAGTTTTCAAGCAGAAGTAACCCAGTAAATCGACGAACTGCGCTGCCTTCCTGCCGTAAGCCGGAAGCAGGGGCCACAAACGCCACAGAAGATCCAGCAAGACTTCCTGATCGGTTGGTCCGCAATTTCTGAAATTTCAAGTGCACATTTTTATTTGCGCATCTCTATTGTTGATATATAAAATTAAAATTATTATATAAAAAAAAATTAACAACTTACTTGTAAATTGCCAGTATAAGAGAATGAGCTTGCCAACGAACGTTCGTATTGTTCGTTTCAAGGAGGAAAGTCTGAATAAACTTCATCAATAATGTGGGATGCACTTGTTTCTGAATTTGTTCGACCAGAGGTAAACACTGCGTTTCCTCAAATCTGGCTTCCGAATCGGAATCCTCCGATTTCTCACGTTCGCGTCTCTCTCTCGTTCCGGTTGTCGGTTTAGAATCCTGATTGTAAATTTACACAAATATTATATCTTTGCTTTTTAACGACAAACACATAAATGATATCTATCATTTGATACATGATAATATACAATGAAGTACACATTGTTTTATGTTATATTTACCTTTGATTTGACATCCTTGGCTTCTTTGGACTTGGTATTCGAGCAAATAGCGCACTGCAACAACTGAAGCACCGTAGGACTCACGCCTTCGTCCAGGAGCGTCGATATTGCGAACAGATAAGACAAAACTGTGTTCTGTTTCAAGCAAAATCGTTGCCAGTTTCCCGTCCGACTGGTGGCGATTTCCACGCAGCACTTGAGATGTTCGATCAGCTCGACTAACGAGTCGTAAGGTAGATTGATTGAATGCGGACGTATGTTCGGTGGATCATATCCGCCTGTGGAGCAACACTGTTGTACGGATTGTATGTGCGAGATGAGAGCGTGAAGATCCCGCAGCTGTCTGTATTTTTCTTTATTGCCGCAGATAAAGAGCAACAATTTGCGCACTTGTCGTCTGACAAACGGCGTCTGATACGACATCATGTATTCGCAAAGATAGAAGTACCACGGCTGTTCGAACGCGGGCTGCACCATCGTGCTCTCCGTGTACTTGTGTACCTGATAAGGCAACCGTAATATCATTTCCGTCAATAATTGAGGATACGGTTCGAACACGTCGCCCGCGTGACCCTTGACGTATTGACGCAAAAAGAACGGCGACATATCCGGCGGCGACGTGGTGAGATGTTCTTTGAGCAACTGGCCTCCTATCATGGTACCGGATTCTTCCGTATTGGTGGTTTTCCAATAGTCGAGCAAGGCCTGTAGCAATGTCAGACAATAATCGATAATACCGGCTTTGCTCAATATCGCGGCGGTGGTTTGCGACACGAAGTTTGGATTCTCAGAGGAAGTCTTTGTGGCGTATTTCGAACGTGACATAAGAACGCTCAGCAAGCGCATAATAACCAAATGGACTTCTCTCTTGTTGTTGCGTTCGCATATGTTGGTCGTGTCGGGCTTGTCCATTTCCAATTCTTTCACGAGCATGTGCAACAAACGTTCCACACAGGCTTTGTCCTTTTCTTCTTGACCGTCAAGATCGGCGGTCAGCATCAGCATTACCTGCATAAACGGAATGGCAAGCACTCCGCGAACGTTTACCAAATTGGGCACGAACTGCGTAAACTTGTCCAGCAATAAGAGCCGGACGGCGTGCAGTTTAACAGTGATTTCGCCAGACGTGTCGTTTTCCTGTTCGACACCTTGTTCTTGCTCGGTGCCTTCTTCTTGTTCGGTGGTGGTGAAAGTTGTCGGAACATCCAGAGTGGTGGTTTCAGAGCGCGGTGCTTGATTGACCGCGATCCCGATTGGAGGTATAGCGTTGTCCGGAGCGTTGTCTCCGTAAGCGGAGCTCCTGCCGGAAACGTTATGCTCTCCCGTCATGCTGTCAACGGCGCTGCCTCCGCTATCGCTACCGCCGCTCTCGCTACCCTTGCTACCACCGCTACCACCTTGCTCGGCGGGAGACGTTCGAAGCGTGCTGCCATCGGTGGCGGCGGTTGATCCCTCATCGTCCGAGCCACCTGCGGACGCGGTCGTATCGGAATAATGTCCGCCTTCCTGTCCCTGAGCAGCATTTGGAACTTGAACCAATCCCTGCGCCGCCAAGTTTTGCAAGCTTTGCAACGCGGAGCCGCTCAGATTCTGAAGACTCTGTATACCTTGCAGATTGGGAAAACCAGCTTGTTGGAATCCCTGTCGAAGCGCTTGCAGATCGGCGCCTCCTTCGTGATCTTGCAAACTTAGAGCTATCGCCAGTTCCACCATAGCCTCGTCGTCGGCGTCCGTCGGCACGTCCAACAATTGCGGGAAGTTACCCGCGCCGAGCATGGCCGCCAACGGTTCCAACGGATGATTGACCACTCGGGCGGAAACCGAGTTTTGATTGCTCTCAGCGCCGAGCATAGACGCCACTCGATCAACAGCTTCCACGGCTTCGACGATGTCGAATTGCTGCTCCACATCGCGCTCGACCGTGTCCTGGGAAGCTTGCGTCCGCGGAACCAACGCGGACTTCTCTTCGGTCTCGGCCACCACACCCGGAGTGCTGCAGTTCGGGGGACTCGGGATGTACACCCTTCTGCGTTTGTATCTAGGTCTGAGCACTCTGATTATCGCGTGCTTCGCGCTGAAACTGATTGTGGTGTCGGATGATAGCAGAAGCTGCAGATAAAGTTTCGCGGCAATCGGAGTATTGTTCTCAACGTCGCATATCGCGAACGCGTGAATGATTTCGACGATGGCGTAAACCGTGCCCTCGGCGTGCGTGAGTCCCGGCACGACTACCGGAGCTAACGCCAGATTGTCGGGATACGCTGCGTGCAGAGACCACAGTATCTCCATCAATTGTATGACCAAGTGCTGATTTTCGTCCGCCTTTGTGCTCGCGTAAACTTCCAATCGATCCTTTTCGAAGACGGGTACTAAAAAAAACAAACAATTCCAAATTGTTACGTAATTCCGGTTTTACTCTTCGAAAGTTTTTATTTTTTTTTTTACTTGAAAACATCAGAGAGCAACACTAACCGCTACTTTCGTCGATTGATTTAGTTGCGTGCTGTTCGGAAAATTTCGCGAGATTGTGCGGGCGTGACACCGCAACAGCGCGAACGATAAGTACAAGTCTGTAAAAGTTCTCCGGATCGATGTCCGAGGGATCTGCAGCTTCCCTCATTGATTTCAGGGATTCGAGCACGTGCGACAACAACACGTGATCCTGAAAAAAAAAAATAACGCGTGCACGCGCGTAATTGTGCATTTATAAATAAAATTCTTAATTCTCCTTAATGAACACTCGATCGCGTTAAAAAAAAAAACGCACCTCGTGAAGATGATACGCCTGTTTGGTGTTGTGAAGAGCAGCTAGCAGAGCCATCGTGTACATTTGCACGGGTATTGGCGTAGGCAATATCAACAACTGCGACGCGACGTCGATCGCCGTGGTCTTGAGCGCGGATTTGTTATCGTCTTGCAGAGACAGAATGAAGGCCGATTCCAAGACCTCGAGAACGCTGGCTGTTATTCTGCAAAAAGTTCACAAAATTGTTAATTAGATTTTCCGTTCACTTACGCATTGTTGATTGGCAGTAAGAAAAAATAAACCAACATGTTACACACAAAAATTTTTGACACTAATTTTCTCAGGTAAAGTTTTTGTCGTCATTATTTCTTGCATCGCATAAAATTTCAAATCGGAAACAAACTTCTTCTTTACACAACGTTTCTATCGCTTGTAAATAAATTATTTACAGATCGACTAACAATCCAATCTCCCCCCAATTGATCAAATCTATTCCTCTCTCTCTCTCTCTCTCTCTCTAGCTTTGAGATATTAAAATTTAATACCGTGTTCCTTACCTTTCTATCGCAGTATCCTTTGTTCTGTTACACAACATCGCATGAATCAAAGAAATGCAAAATATTTTCTTTATAAAATGATTGACTTATGTAATTCACACATATATTAAATTTAATGTAAATTTGTCGATACGTACTTGTCAATTGAGGACAATGGCGCAGGAGAAACGACAGCGTTGTCCGCTTCGTTATTGATTGTCGTTACCGGCGCGGATGATGGTTGACACGACTGGATTTCCTCTATCTCCTCAGGCCATCCAAATGTGTCCTTAGTTTTGCCGTATCTTCACAAAAGAAATTGGTATTTTATTAAATTGTATTTTTTTTTTTTTTTTTTTTTATCTTTTGTACGTTAAAAAAACACTCGATATAATATCGCAACAACACTAACATCTTTATCGAATCGACCATGATGACGCCATCGGGATCTTGGGACGGTCCGAAAGTGATCGTCAGCTTCTTGTCCGCTTGAAGACTCTCTTCTCTCGTTAAGGGAATGTCGAACCAACGGCTTCTGGTTAACGTGGTTCGAATACTTCTGCCGAAAATCTTTCGAGAACAAACAATTAAAAACATTTCATCAAGTTCAATTCGAATGAAACTTATTCTTATATACGCGCTGTGTATCAAAAACTTACCTCGACGTATAAAGGCACTCTCAGAACGTCTTGATTGCCTAAGAGCACTCGTATTCCCGTCATCACCATAATCGCGTCGTTATTCGTAACTTCGACGTTAAAACCCGTCGCTTTCGTGGAAACCACGTACATCCCGGTGGTGTTCAAACGGTGCTTGATCTGCGAGGTGTTGTAGATCTGCAGCAGATCGTTGCCGCCGAATTCAACGTCCGGCATCACTTGACAGTGCTCGAAGAAGTCGATGGGGAACGTGACGGATCCCGACGGTTTTCCCATCTTGTTGGTCTTCTTCTTTCGGCTGGGTTTCATGGCGCAAATGGTATTGACCGGTTTCACGGCGGACGACATCCAAAATCCGGTCTGTTCCATGCTGGCCATGTAAATTCGGAGACTTCCGTCCTCGCACAATAATATCAAGGTCGTTCGGTGTTCGGCGTTCGAGCTGGGATGTCTTATCGCAACCATGTCCATGATCTTCGCTTTCGCCGGCACGATTTTGATCTCTTGTATCATAATCGTGTCCGGTTTGATCATCAGTATCACTGGATTGTTGCTGGTCTGAAGCATAGAGCAAATCAGTCCGGGATGATTCGCAACCTCGCTCCATTGGCACAGAGGCTGTTGTTGATTGTTGTTGGGTTTGTTCCCGTTTGTTTTGTTACTCGCGAGATTGATCTGAAACACCAGTCTGATGTCGGAGTCCATGTGTTGCAACGGAGCTATGAAGCTCTTGCCGCAGGCGTAACTGAAGAACAGCAATTGCAGAGCGTGAGAATAATAAATGGATACTCCTCCGCCGCCCACTTGGCCGTTGTCTTTTATCTCCGGATGATAAACATCCAGTGTGTTCGTCACGTAGAAAGCACCGTGTTTGGCTTGACTCTCCTCGTCCATCGCTTGGCTGTAAATGTATCCGGCTGAGGACATGAGCAACATGTGAAACGTGCCGTTCTCCGCGTGCATGAACGTGCAATCTCTTATCTTCCCGGTCGGCACCAGGAAGTAATACTGCGGACTCAGCGCGTCCTTTCCTAGGTCGTAAATTTTCACAAAATCGGCGGTAACCAGTGCCAATTGCGTCTGTGCGCCGGGAAGCCACAGAGCTTTGATAATGAAGTTTCCGCTTTCCAGTTGAGGATGCAGAACCAAATGATCGGACACGGTTCCGGAACTGTTGAACGTAAGTACGTGACAATCTTTGAATCCGCAAACGGCCAGGAAATCCTCGTTCCACTGATTCCCGGTGACGGAAAGAACGGTGAAAGGTACTGGTGCAGAAGCGAGTCTTGTCAGCGTTAACTTTCTCTTCGACGAGTCGGCTTGCTTCAAAAGGGCGCTGAGCTGCAAGACCGTTATCTTTCCCTTCTCGTGCGACACAGCCAGATGTTGACGTTTGCCGTGTGGCGAAGACAGACAGCACATAGCGACGCGTCGTATCATGTGAGCCGACAGCAATTGTCTGATAGTCTGACCCTGATCCCCCGAATAGTTCATTCGAACGTTCTCAAACGCGCCTTCTTGAGAACCCAAGGTCGGAAGCATAAGTTGATCCGTGTACTCGAACTTCTTGCCGCTCGTGTGCAACCGCAAAAGCGCCAATTGAGCCCGCACGTAGCAACCGATCGGAGCGTAACGCTGACAGTACTCCTCTACTGCAGGTATCAACGCGCGTGTCAAATCGACCAACGAGGATACCAGTCCGCTTTTCCACAACTGAGAGTATATCCAGTCCTTCGATGATTCCAGATGTTTCGTCAGATAAGTCAGTCTTTGAGTGTCGCGTCCGGCTATTTCCTGTTTGCTGTAAAAGTGCACGGGACTGGACGCTCTTCGGCGTAAGCTGCTCGTGAGGAGCAGACTGCTTTCCGCGGGAACGGATCCGACATTGTTGTACGGTATGTTGCTGCTCACTTGATGCTCCGAACTCTGAGGACTGCGCTTCGTCAACGCCTGGCAGGATCCGTCGTCCTTGGCGCCGCAGTCGCAGAAGAAGTTCCCGTATTTGGCGTAAGTGAGATCGTGTCCGCGATGACAGACCCGAGCGCACACCGTGCACACACCTACGCCGTCGACCATGTTACACGTATGGCAATGATACCAGTGCTGATTCATGAATTCCTTTTGCGTGATCGTGAAGGTGCACAGCTTGTTGCAGAGACTGTCCTCGTCCGAGTCCTCGGCCGCGCTGTCGTCGTCCTCGTGAGGAATTTCGTCCACCCAGTCGCTGTCGTTGACGTCGTTGTTCGGTAGAGCGCCTTCCCAGGGCGGACTGTTCGCGCGATCTTGGGACTGCGCTTGCTGCGGGCAAATCGCGCCCACCACATCGGCTATGTAGTTTAGCATGCAACAGCCCGCTTCGATGTACGGAGTCGGTTCGTCGAACGTCTGCAGATCCTTGTTCATTATGTGATCCTTGCAAAGTTCGACCCATTCAATGGCCGCTTTGAACAACAACGCGTGTCCTTTTTCCGGCACGGCGTCGGCCAGTGTGGACATAATTTGCATCAATTCCGGAAAACGATTCGCTTCGATGGTCGGAGAAAGAATGTGGTACGTTAACGGTATGAGAGCTTGAAGAATGGTCACAGAAACGCTAGCGTTGCTCTTATCCTTTACTATATAATTCGTGAGCGCCCATAAGAAACGGCTGTTCTCGTGAGTCGAGTGTGAGTCCTCGTCTTTGCTTGTCGCAGGCTGATTGCTGGAACTGTCGGAAATCGCCCACTGACCTTGTTCGTTATTGGACGCGTTGTTTCTTTCGTCCGGTCTCTGACTCTCCTCCGGAGTGCTCGAGACGGTCACCAATGTATTCGCTGTATTGACCGTGGGTGTTGGCACGTTAACCGTAGAAACGTTCTCGACCACGTTCGTTGCTCCCAATATAACGTGTCTCAACCAGGTTTGCAGCTTCTCGCTCTCGATATTGGCAAAATTGGTCACCGAATTGCAGAGATGATCTAGCAATATGTCGTTTGCTTTCTCAGCTGTTCTGAATAACACGTTGAAGAAGTGCAAAACGTACGTGCTGAACTGCGGCGTAGCTTGAGGCGACGTTATAGACAGCAAGACAGATACAAGACTGTGATTTGTGTCGTGAACGAAGAACAAATACAGAGCTTTGCATCCGAGAGGCTTCTCCAACAGTCGCTCCCAATAGTTCATACACTGTCTGAAGATCTCCTCGTGAATTACGATACTGATAGATCCGTCCGCGTTATCGGTGTACTCAACTATCAGATTGTAGATGTGATTTATCATGAACATGTGCTCTCGCAGATATCGCGTTTCATTGTCTCCAGCGGTCTCGTCGTCGAACAACTTGTCCAGTATACCCGTGACCTTTTCACGAAGATAATCGGTACGTGCGTCCAGTAACAACGCGATCAGAACATCTACGGCTTGGGTGTGGGTCTCGGACGATTGCTCCGGGATTGTCGCGGGCGTGATAAACACCTGCATGAACGAGACCAAACTGTGCAGCAGATTCTTCAGCGACGGATTGATGGAGAACACCGGATACTGAGACAGAGAACCGACGTGATAATTGACTATGCTGAAAATGTAGTTTTCCGACGGTATTATGTCGTTCGCGTAGGCGTTCCAGGACACGGAAGAGTGAGCGATGGCGTTCCACGTGTCCACGCCGGATTGAACGCAATGCGGCAGGAAGGACACTATCGGCTTTTCCGTTCCCCAGCGCGCATTGCCTATGGACAGTATGTTGTTCACGATCAGATAGTTTCGCGTGCTGTAATTACCCTCGTCCTCGGCGGAATCGAACATGCGATACAACATGTTCGATTGGCACGATAACAAAATAGCCTTTGTCAGCGACACAAATTGCGGCAGAAGATCAATTATCATCTTGACTCTGATCAGACTTCCGGACTCCGCATTCTGCGCGCTCTTGGACGTGTCGGTATTCTCGGTAGTGTTCTTCGATATGTTCTCGTCCATGAGAACCTGCAACTTTCCCACTACCGAGTTCAATATGCACAGGGAACCGAGTTTCGGCAGCGACGCTTTCGGCATCAGTTTGTCAGTGGCGCTGTACTCGGGCATGAGCGAGAGCATGCAATTCTTCGCAAGAGTGGCGTCGTATTTCACCGAGTTCACGGTCGACGAAACAGTTTTCAACAAATTCTCGGCGTATTGCGTGTACATTCCCTGCTTTATCAGGCAGTCCTTCATCCAACCGGTGAAGGTTTTATACGCCGCTCTCGGTCCCCACACGAACGAATGGAGCAGCATAGGCCCGGCCGGTATCTCCTCGCCGAGAGCGAGTTTGTTCATGTAAGGAGTCGAAGGTGGTAACATCAGTAGCAATTCCCAGCATATAGTGAAGCAATACTGAATCGCGCACAAGCCGGTGAACGTGATCTTGTCCTTGTTACTCTCGGCACCTTTTTCGTATCTGTCGCTCTGATTGAGCACATTCAGAATGTCGATCAGCGCGTCGACCAGAAGGGGATACTTCATCTTATCCGGTGTACCCAGAATAAAATTACAGGCCTGTAAAAAAAAAAAAAAATAAAATAAAATAAACTCTTACAAAATTCGAATTCCACGTCGAATTGTCTTCGCGGGATTAATGAACAACGCACCAATCCGTCTAATTTTGGCACATCCTGATTATTTCGATCTGTTCTCGACAAACTGTAAAAACGCGGCTTCATCGAAAATTCGTCTTGCGAACTATATTGACGATGTTTGTCCTCTATTCCGGCCCAAGGAGTGAATGCCCTGGTGGTCTGTTTATTTCCGTCTTTTGTGTCGCTTACCAAACTTGTAGCAGAAAACAGATTCCATTCTACCTGTGTAAGGAAAGAAAAAAAAATATTTAGACACACACGTGTGTGTGTGTATATGTACATATTTATTTGTACGACAATTGTAAAGTAAATGTACAAGACGTTTACTACCACTCAGGTGACACTTTCACACTGGTGACCCTGGTATCTTGCATTATCTTTGCATTAAATTAGATAATAGTTTTCCTCTAGCATTTAATACATTTTGTTGTCATCAAAGAGTCACATTGCAAATGGTAAATTAATAATTGTGACAATTATTCACTTATTATTAATTAACATTGCAACGTATAGCGATGACGAAGAATGATTAAATGCACTTGTGATTTGAAACTTGTATTCGACAGAAACTAACCAGCGTATTTGTGTTCACTTACGTGTTCAAGCAACACTCGGTGCGCGTCGTACAAATGTTTCATCATATATTCGAGCAGCAGTAACAATCGGGACAAGTGTAACACTTGAAAATCTTTCATGGGCGTTTTAACCGCTTCGCTGCAACGTACCGCGCCACTTCCGGTCACAAGTAACACAGATTTTTTCTGCATTAAATTCAGAGAATGAAATAGAAAGAGAACCAATTGAGCGTGTTCCACATTCAAATCTGCAAATTGACATCAATATATTTAATAGCAACGCACAAGCAAAAATCGAATTGAAGATTAAAGTAGAAGAGACCTGCGTGTGATTTTGAGAAAAAAAATATTTTGTTTTTATTACATACCTTCATTCTCAGCTTCGTAGGTTGTTTGAGGATTGCATACATTTTCGACCAAAGTTGTTACCAATCGATGCCATATGCTTATGCATGCAGCTTCCCTTTCTGGTTGAGGTTTCAATTGCAGCACCTAATTACGAATATTGTATTTTTTTTTGGAAATAGAAACAAGAAACAAGAAAGAAATAGGAAATATAAAATATCAAAACTAACGTACCTGAGCTAGTACTCTGAGAGTTCGTGGATACACTTGAAGAGGCCAAGAGGATGAACTATTGCCTTCTGTAGACCAGGGACTTACACCCAAGTGTTGGAGCAAGGTATTCTGCAGAGATTCGCTTAATGTGTTCCACGCGAGTAAGTTGTGAGTGTAACGACTTAAAGCTTGAGAGAATTCCAAATACATAGCAGTTAACGTAGCGCCGTAAAATGTGGAAATTGTGCCTGAAAATGCACAATATTCTCTTAATATTTCGAATATTTAATGTGAATTATAACACGTAAAAAATTACAAAACACATAAATTATAAAAGGTACGTACACAGATTTCAATAACTTTTACCTGTTTCGGTTCTAGCTGTTTCATGATCCAGATCTCTTATGATCGCTGCCAATATGACCATTTGTTGCTCGACCAAACCGTTCACCACATATTCCCGAACATACGTACTTCTACTACCAATTAAGTACTTGTTCATAAATTGGAATATTTTTGTTGCGAGCGAAATATACTGAGAAAGAAACAATCAATATTAAATTTTTTGCAATAATCTCACGGAGATATGTTGTATTTTTCAATATTATATTTTTTGATAAAATAAATTTAAAAAAAAAAAAAAAAACATACACCATGTGGCTCTCGATTGTCGGGAACAATAGTAGTAGTGGTGGTACGTTCCGCACTCGCTTCATTGTTTGTTTCTTTGTTGGTGTTTGTGGAAGTCTCATCTGACGGAGCAAGAGTTTCTTCAAACCACAGTCCCAAGATAGGTTCGCTGTCCTCCTCTATTGACATAACACTTTGTTTTATACATGCAGCAAATACGTACCAATAAGTTAATAAAATTATTAGCAAGTACAATTATAAGCAAGCGCAATTCATTTAAACGCATTACACATTGCACATAAAACTTTTTAATATAATAATTTATTTATTTAATATAATAATTTATTTATTTATATAAAAAACATGAAAAACATTATATTTCATATTAATATTAATAAAATATTTAGTGATCTGTATATTCCAGAGATAAGTAAACTATATCAGAGAAATGAATACACAATGTCACCTTCATCAGTAGAATTTTCCGAACAACTCAAAAGATCCTCATAGTATGTTGTGGAATCTGACTGACTCAGTGCATCTCCTTCCAAAGAATGTTTCTGCACTCTTTTCAGTGTGCACGCCTGCATAACAAAATAAAATTTATAAAATTAATTTACATTATCTGTGTTTGTTTCAATATGTGTTTATGAGTCACTGTATTTTATGAGTCACCAGCGACCTACAGTAGACTTTTACCTTTCTGTAACTAATAGTAGCAAGATAAAAGAGCAGATGATTCAACGGCACTGCTTGTAGGAATGTCACCGCTCTCTGTAACGCTGTAGCGGTGGACAGAATATCCAACGCCGCTGGTTCAGGAACCGCCACGACTAAATCGGTACTGGCTTCGATAGACACGTCTTCGAGAAGCGCGCTCATCAAATTAAGCGCGTGCGAGGCCAACGCCACTGACAATACGCCAAAACCCTGTTGCCTGATTACATAAAAACAAATTTTTCCTTTGTACAATACCGATATATAAAATCTTCTCTTTGAGAATTTATTGCAAAATATAAAAACTTATATAAAAAGAGTTTGAAAAATATTTTCAACAGTCACATTCACAAAAATTAGATAATACAAAATAACAATTACACTTTCATAAGATTAACACGTCCGCTTCCATCACGAGCCTTGCTTGGGGATTTTCCCTTCTCCTCTTTTCCTTTGTCTGCAGCGCTAAAACTGCTCACGCTCAATTGCGCTTGCAATCCCGCGACTAGGAGCCACACTCCAATGAGTAAATGATTCTGCAGAATCTAAAATAAAGCGCAAATAATTTTTTCAGAGATTAGCGCACAACATGTCTCGAGTTTCAACACGCTGTGTGTGCCAATATTTATTTTACAAATAAAAGTAAAAAAAAAAATCTTATAAAGCTTTGTTCAAAATCAAAACCTCATCACACTTACATGTCCACCCGCGCGTGTGCTATTTTTGATTATGTTTGACACCTGTCCAAATATTTCTAGACTCTTTTCGACAACTGTGATCGCTAGAGTATCGTATTCCTCGTCGGTCGTTTTCGCGTTTTGATTGGACTGATTACTCGCCGCGGTATTCGTGCTGCACTTGGGCGACACGGCGTTTGTTATGCCGACTATACTCGACGCTGTCGCGTTCGCGATCGAACAATACAGACAAGACATTGTCAGTAACGACAGCTTTTCCAATTTCTCCGGTGTCAGAGGCTCGAGTATTGGCAGAGATATCACACTATGTACAATATTGATATCGCTAACCACAGAGTGCAAGCTGTGTCTTATTGTATGCGCCTCTGACGTGTTGGCCGGCAGGCTGAATCCTTTTTTAGACAAATACGCCTGATACTTTCGTGTGTAGCGCGACAAGTGCGGTAGATTCAAGCACATGTCCAGCAAGATGTCACTTGCACCCATGTTCTGCAGAGTGCTTATGTTGTTTGAAATAAACATCATCTGCAATGTGATAGACATATTACGTTATTATAGCGTTATTATAAGAAAATTACAAATTGTGTAAAAACCTATACACTTTAAATTAACCCAGTTGTACTAACCTTGATGTCAGAATGTGTCTCGCTTGTGGTACTGGCGCTTTTGCTTGAGATATTAGTGTTCTTGCTCGCGCCATCAGTAGAATTTTCACTCGCCAGAATAGATGACGATGAAAAATCTTGCAACGGCATTGTCAATTGCTCGAAGATACTGGTAGACAAATCACAACGAGACCGCATAGACTCCTTTACTATTTGCGGAGAGGTTTCCTTTTCTTTTCCACCTGACGGAACTGTCACGTGAGATGGTATTTTGGAATTTTTCACTACAAACGCCAGTGCAGTTTCCTCTGCGGATGTGAGTAACGATTGTCCGGTACATAGTGCACGTATTGCGAGTAGCAACTGTTTTGTGGTCAAGACCGTGGGTGCTGTATCTCCGGGTTGCACCTGATGCTGTGGCAGCTTGTCCACCAGATAAGCAAGCAGCACTTTGCATGCTTGACAAACTATAGATATTTGACTCTTGGTAACTAAAGCAAAAAGATAACAAAGTTTACACACACATACATATGCACATGCATATCTACAAATTATTTTTAAATATTCATAAATTAGATCATCATTTTAAATATTTGTTTCACAACTGTATCAAACAAGTAAAAACAAATATTTATATTCCAAGCAAACTAGAAAGTAATGTCCTTTGTTTCGCACGTATACGTTGAAAAAAAAAAAAATGTGTTTCAATCTATTAAAATAACCTCCTTAAAATAACTGGTATCAATAAATACACTTTGCACTTGGAAGTCAAGTCTTTTCTACACTTTCCTAACCAGAGATCTTGCTCTACCTTGCCATAAAAAAACACATATACCAATACATTACTTTCCGGTTTCTCTTGATAAACAAACTTTGTATACACGCCCTGTTTGGGAGAGTTTTTGCCACACAGGCCAGAACGTTTGCTCGAACGTTCGACTTACACGTATTCGCGCAACCGCTAATGCAATCCGCGGCCAAGGCAGCGACCGCCGTGTAAAAAGTGCCGTATTGATCCTCGTGGGAGACGAATTTGTTTTCGCTGAAACCAAACGGAGCAAAATGTGTGAGAATCGAACGAGAGAGAGAGAGAGAGAGAGAGAAAAAAAAAAATACACATCGCAAGAATATTATCGAAATAAGGTGCGGGCATCCATTTCTGTGGTGTCATCAAGAAGCGGTGTACGTGTGTACGCGTATCGCCAAGATTTGAACGTTCGCGTTTCGATTTCCCTCAAATCGGCAAATCGGCACGTACCTTTTGACGATGGTCTTCACGAGATCGATAACATCGGCTTTGTTGAACGAGTGCGGCGGCGACGTTGCTAAAATCGGTTTCATCACCGAAGGCCACTCGTCGTGACCACCGCTCTTGGCAGCCATTTTTAATATACTGATAGTACTGACTCACAACTGCGCACAGCTGTGCTTCTTGCACCGAGAACGAGAAGTCTGCCCTGCCTGTCCGCCTGCCGTTCTCTCTCCGTCCTTTCCCACTCAATTTTTCGAGTTCCAAAAAAAAAATAATATGCGCGCATGCGCAGCTAATTGAACGCAGTAACGCCACCTTTCCGTTCGCAATTGTGTGGGGTAACTTATAAACTTGCTTTTTTTTTTTTTTATACTAGCACATCACACAGACGCGCGCTACGCGCACGCTATTATTTTTATTTTAACATATTCCGTCAGTAGACACAACATGTCACCGCGATGACAGATAGTATATACGTCTTATAAAACCATGTAATACACATATAAGAAATGTCAGAAATAACGCATGAAAATCAAATTTAAAAAATAGTGAGAGAGAGAAGTGGAAAAACAACACGTGACAGGGAAAAGGGTAAAAAAGAGAATATTATATATATTATATGTAATATTCTATATCTATATATAATACACACACATACGCATATATGTGTATATATATATATATATATATATATACCGTAATCACGTGACCGAAGTCAGTAACACCGCCGCGGTCGCGCGACCGAGGTCATTGACCTTCTCCCACCAAAACCGCGCGCCCGAGGTCAGTGGCCTGCCAAGTCCGCGCGGCCGCGGTCAGTTACCCCTTCCCCCACCAAGGCCGCGCGCCAAAGGGCAGTGCCCAGCCAAGGCCGCGCGGCCGAGGTCAGTGACCCCGCCTAAGTCGCACGGCGGAGGTCAGTGACATTACTGTAGTATGTATATAATACATATAATACAATATAAAGTATAATATTATAAATATATAATAAATAATAAAGAGAGAGAGAGAGAGAGAGAGAGAGAAAAAGTGTACAAAATATGTAGTAAAACAAAAGTTATATAATTTTTTATAACGATACATAAAAATTACAAATTCAGGACAAATATATCGGGCAACACAAACTCGAATTAACTTCGGAATTATTACATTTGTATATATATATATATATATATGTGTATATATATATATATATATATTTATATAGAGAATGTTTCAGGTACATACATTATTGGTTGATGGACACTATGTTCATTAATATATTACATTTGTGTGTACATGGAAATAAAGTAAAAATAGGAAATACACAGATTCGAAGAACACATACACGTTGTATGGTATCACATGTAAAATAATACCTGCGAGTATTCCAAAAACCTAATTTTGTTGCACAATACTTGTTGCAGTTGTACGTAATCGCGTACGTATGCGGGAAGAAATTTTGAAACATTCTGATTCTTGTACAAGTTTGACAAATTCGGTTCGATTGTGTAAACAATCTACATAATTGATCAAACAACTGCTCCGTCACAAGCTAATCTCAGATGTGTGTGAAAACAAGGTAACTCTCAACTTCTTACATCACAATATTAAACTATATGTGCACTTCACGGGTATTCGACGCGGTTTGAGAAATTAAGAAGTATAAACTAAGAGAGGTTTCGCATCTAACTCATACACACATTATAAAAATTCGCCGAATGTCTCAAACTGACATTTATAACGAACTGATATGTTGCTAATTTGGCTCTTCGTACAAACAAGATTTCGCATCGTAAATGCAATATTTATATCACTTTTCAATCGTCGTACTAATAATATCTTTGATGCATTCACGCGCACTTTATCCTGCCGTAATGATTTTGTTTTGAAAATAAACGCGATATTACTTCAATCCAATATATATCATGCTTACATATTTGAAACGTAATCATTTATACTGTATATGTATATCCGCAAATTCAATCGCCCATGTTCATTTTCTCTTGCAGTATCTGGTAGTAACACGCCTGTAACAAAAAAGTTTTCAATGTGAGTGGTCGCGTCTTTGCAAATCTTTCAAAAGTTTCTTTTGTTTCGTTCATTTTGTTATCCCGTACCTTGAGAGTGGTGAACATAATACCGAGCTCGCCATTTTGCAAATACGGCTCCATGAAGTCTTCGATGAAGTGTATCTCGCTTCCTAACTGCAACACGCTAGCGCGAACGACAACGAAACTAAATACCGGAAACAGTTCGTCCATCGTCCATAAGTATGTAGATCCCAGTTGTTTTTGTACTACCTGTTGACGAACATGCGATAAGTGTGAGCGCGAATTTTTTTTTTTTGTTTTTTTTTTAATCATCAAACCTGACTTCCGCACGTTCTTACTTGCGTCATTTGTTCAAATGTGTTTCTAACTACCAACAACTTTTCCAAAGGCGAGAAAGTTGTCTTAAGCTGCTGTAAAGTTTCTATAGCACTACTGAAGTACGGCTCGTGTTGAGGTAACGAAGTATCAGTGAGGTTTATTACGTTCGTAGTTTTCCAAAATTTTCTGCAATTTTATGAAAATTTCACGTTACACAAGTACGACAAACACACACACACATATAATTCACTAAAAGTGATGATGGTATTATATCACCACTGATTCTGTCACTTACTGATCAATCTCGAGAAAGGCCATCAGAGTGATGTCGGGCTGCTTGTTCCACTTCATCAATCTTTCCCAGTACGCGTCGTCCTCCTTCTTATTGTGTAAGGCATATAATACAAAAAGCGCTGAATGTACACGTGGCAGTAATATCGGATGAAGTATCGCGGCCGCGCTTATGACTTGCCTGAAAGTGAACGTCTTCAAATTATTCCTTTGCGCAATTCTTGCGAATAACATTTTACATTAATACGCGAATAATCGTTCTCGCGAACTCGACGATACCCACTCTTCCTCCTTGTCGTTGGCCTCGAGAACGTATTCCTTGCCGCAGCGCGGTAGAGCCGGAAACAGAAGAAGCACGATCTCGTATATCCTCGTCGCGATACTGTGAAGCTCCGAAACTGCGTGGCTGAGTAATAGCGGATGGACTCGCACCCCGCCGTACGTAGCTGTGTATACCGCAGCCACCTCCGTCAGAAGAGCGCCCAGCGGATGATGCGGACTCTCGAAAGCTTTCACCAAATACTTGTGAATTTCGTTGTAGGTCTGAGGAGTGAGTTTGTCCCGTTCGAAGCACGGGATCTTGTCCAGCTGATCGATCGTCTCGCTGTTTCTTTCCTTCGCGTTTGGAACACTGGCCGAGAGCTTCTTTCGTTGCAACGTTCTCTGATGGGACTTCGTTATTATGCTGGCGACATTTTGCCAGACTCTTTGCGTATCGGACTTCTCGTTAGTACCTTTGGCGATCGTCTCGGAGACGCCGAGCTGCTGATAGCACTGCTTGAATATGGCTTTCCACTTTTGATCGGGAGGTACGCATAATTTTCCGAAGGACCTGGAATAAAAAAAAAAAAAAAAAAAAATGAATGAACGTATAAACGAGAGTACGAGAGTGTCTCCCATGCGTGTAACACAGATATTTACGCTGGCTTCGAATTTGGTTGTGCAGTTCCGTTAGCTTTGTTTATGTGCAACGTGGCGATAACTTTAACGCCTTCGTTCCAAGCGCCGTTCATATTGCCCTCCAATCTGTCGCCACTTCGAAACGTCAATATACCCTTTCCGCAGAATATTCCCGCCGACTTGAACTCACCTTCGTAATGCGTACCATCCTCAAACACCATTACTCCATGTCCCTGCAATACAAAGATGACGATAGAGTGATGATTAAAAAAAAAAAAACAATCGGAAATAAAAATTTCTATTTAGAGACACACGCGTGTGTACTTACCGTGAGAACATCTTGCGTGAACGCGCCCTCGTAATAAATGCCATCGAGGGTCACAATCAAACCGTTTCCGTGTTTCATACCGTTGCTCCACGATCCGAGATATTTCTCACCTGCGATTAAAAAGATGGCATCAGAGTCACAGTCTCGTTGTGCAATTTCGATATTGCGCTTCGTCAAAAGATTCACAGCTTAGGCACTTGTGCCTAAGCACAACAACAAATACTTCATACCTGTCATAATGTCGTCCATTATTCCATATCCCTGCTTGACACCGCCGGCCCATTCTCCGATGTAAACAGACGCGACCGACGCCATAAAGTGACCTTCTTTCTTCACACCGTGGCCGTGAGGTAATCCGTCTTTAAAATATCCTTCGTAAAAATCTCCATTGGCGTATCTAGATTTGTTTTGTTTTTTTTTTGTTTTTTCATTAATTTTTCAATCAATTTTCCCAAAAATACGTACAAATTTATTTCTCTTACTTCATCGTTCCGTATCCGTTTTGCTGACCGTCCTTCCACTGGCCCTCGTAAACGCCCTGCGTCGGAATTTCCATCTTTCCAGTTCCATGAATAATTCCCTTGTGAAATTGACCGACGTACGAACGACCGTCGGACCACTCCAGTTTTCCAGAACCGTGCGGTTTACCGTTAAGCCATCGACCTGTCAATTGACGCGATTTAAAATTAAATGAGAGAGAGAGAGAGAGTACGCGCGAGATACTTTTTCGCTAATATATTATTTTACACACAAACCGGTGTAAGTTGCGTCTTTGAAGACGCTGTGTTTTGTAAACGTAAACGAGCTCGAGCGTGCTAAAGGAGGCACAATTCCGATCACTCGTTGCAAGCAGCACTTTATGGTATTTTGTAGCGCGTGTAACCAGTCGTTACGTTCAGGCGGAGTGGGGGTGTACAATATAAAATTATCTTCTGGCGTAACAATCGATATAGCGTTCTGAAAAAAAAAAACAAAATTTTTTTACATCAAGCAATTTACACGTTAGAGTTGCGTGAGGCGCAATTCAATTTCGCACCTGTATGTTTTCGGAATCAGGCAGAGGTTCCACCCATAAAGTTCGCAGCGAATGGACCGTGTGTGTGGTTCCGGTAACGTGTATAAAAATATCCGTCAACAGGACAAACCAATGAGACGAGAATCTGCCGGAATTGTATATCGACAGTGGATACGCCTTTGATTCTCTGACAAGTCTTCTGTTGGGCGACCTCAACGATTCTCCCAGTTTGCCGGAGTTCTCCCAAAACGACTTCGTGACCTCCGCCTCCTTTTGACGTCTCTCTTGTTCGTCGTGCACCTGCTCCCATTTTATGAGAGCCTCTTGCAACCGTTCGATCCCCATTCTTGTTCCGTTGCTTTTTATTAAACTGTGAATCGTATCCTTATATCTAAAATTTTAATATATAAATTTTATATATATGTTATGGTATATAAAAATTTCATTAAGTAAAAATCGTGTGTGAAAATCTCACGCGACATATGACGACATATACCTGTTCAGGTTGCACAAAGGATGCTGCAACGCCATTGTCACAATGACATCCTTGCTGTTTCTTTTTACATCGCTACTTTTCAAACTATCTACAAATATACTCGATACTACTTGTGGCACTTCAACAAGTTTCGCAATATGCACAAAACCGCCGAGGGACATAACGTCGCAAATAGCATTTAAATAATATTTGTACACCGCGGTAAATTCCTCTATATTGGCAACAATCGCGATTTCGTACGCCTCTCCGATGTGATTGAAATAATCCCACAAACTCGTAACGTTCAATACATTAAAATTCATCAGTTCTGCGTAACAACGACACAGAGTCTCGTACGCATTCGCTTCCTGAGTCGCGCCCACGCTCTTCTTCTGAAACGGTCTGATGAGATTTTGATAAACAGTCAACATCTCCTCGAGAAAGATCTGATCGCTTATCAGATTCTCCGCGACATTTATTGCCGGCTCGTTTATCACAGAACAACAAGTGTATCGTCCGGAACTGAAGATCTCTCTCGGAGATCTGCTCGATTCTTTCGTTTGAACGTCAAGTTGAAACATATCGCCGATCTTATTCGACTGGCCCATAAAATACAATCCGTGATGCATCATTATCAGACTATGGAAGTTACCAGCTGCCATATCGATGGCTCTTTCGTCGGAAGATAGTTTTGTGGCGAATAACTGAGGAGCGCTCTGATCTATTGTGCTGTGCAACGCGACCTGTTTGAAGTTGTTACGTCCCCATGCGAACACTCTACCGTCCAATGTTAAAGCAAGCACGTGAAAGGCACCGCAGGAAATTTTCCGGATCCCGGTATTGCTGAGCTTTGCCACCAATACCGGATGCGTTCGTTTAATTATATCACCCGTTCCCAACTGTCCGTAATGCACGTCGCCCCATGTCCAGAGTTCTGTTCCCAGTATGTTGCTGCCGGTGCGAGAGAGCGCGTTGATTCTTTCGTTCAATCCTTGCTGAGACAATTCGTGTTCCGACGAACCCGTGCTCGACGACCAAGGAAACTCCTCGCATCGCAGACTCAACGCCAAACTGGTCGTGGCGGGTTTGGCGTAAATAATTCCCTGTTCTTCCAAGTGCTCGTTGCTGTCAGCTTTGGACTCGTTGATATCGGAACTTCCGCTCATGTGTCTGGATAAAGTTACGACTTTGCCTCCGACATTTTTCACTCCCTCGTAAACCAAGTTCGCCACAGTCGATACATTTTGCTTGATCAATCTGGTCGATCGATCGACGCTCTCCAAAGGAATGTCCTCCTTGGCGCTCCCGTAGGACGAGACCCAAGACAACTGTCTGGTTAGAAACTGCCGAGCGGTCTCGGTGTTTATGAATATAACGTTCTTCTTCTCGCCTTTTTCGCAATCCGTCAAATTACCGAGACAATCCTCGCCGTTCTCAACAATACCGGAAGAATACTGTTCCCTCTTGTCTATCTCCGGCAGAAAAAGATGTTCTTTGCTGGCGGTGGACAAAGCGCTAATGGAGTTTGTTGATCGATCCTCGCTGAACTGCTGGGCGTGAGGACCGGTGAGACACGTGTCCGAAGACGTCACACTGCCCGGACTCAGCCTAACGTTGTTCAGACATTGCGGACAAGAATTAACAAATACTTCTTCCTCCGAATCGTTTTCGCTGTCGGTGTCGTCTTTTATGAGCTTATTACTTTTTCTAACGGTAACTACATTGAAATTCGAACCGCAAGCGACCTCGGACACCGTCTTTCCTCGAAAGAATCCAACTCTCTTTGGTTCTGCGCTGCTTATCTCTATTTGAGGCTGATTGCCGCTAGCCCAAAGCTGTCCGTTTTCGGTGACAAACAACGCCGCGTGATCGCTCACAGCAACAGACTTCACCTTCACCACCTCGTTGTCCTTGTATCTGCGGAGTCAAAGAGTTCATTGTTCGAATTCAAATTAAAAAAAAAAAAAAAATCACAAAATACAAACAACGAACGACAAAAGACAACAACACAGACGTACCCGTGGCTGCAATACTTCACTTCTTCCTTGATTATTATCGTGTCCACAACGCCCATATTCTCGGGATTTACTTTCAAAACGTGTCCGTTTGTATTTACAACGAACAAATGTTCGGAATTCGACGCTACGTCGACGGCGTCGAGACCGGATCGTTTGAACACGGCGAGTCTCGGCGACGCGGTCTCCGAGAACGACACCTCGCCGTAATAAAGACCGTTGCTCGTGGTCGTTAAAAAAATGTGATCTCTAACGGCGACGAGCTTGGAAATGATACCGTTCGGTTTGTCCTCGAATGCGAACGACAACTTGTTGGCGTCCCGCCACAAATGCATGTGCTCGTCCATTGCTGCTAACGCGTTTGACAGATATAATAAAGAGTTCGCATAACCTCCTCCTCCACACGCCCTTGCAAAATTCTACTTTAGCTGCGTGACCGAATCACGCCATGTCACGTAATTTGCGATATCATTCCTTTCGGGAAACACTTCCGCGGACGTGATGCTAAATACCTTCGCGGTGACATGATCGAACATTCCGTTTTATATCAGACGGATAACAGAGACACGCAATTGTTGGTCAATACTCACTGATAAGGATATCAGTGGGCTGACACTCTGGACAATCACCCGTTCCATAGTTCCCCCATCATCGTGGTTTGGTGGTTTGTGTGCGTGGCTCCTACATATACACGAGGTAAAGTCGTGCGCGCGGGCGGATGTGAAGGGAACTCGATAGGGGAACGGAATCAGGTGACCGACTTGAGGGATTTAAAGCTCGTTTTTAAATGACGCGCAAAACGCGTGGTGGCGGGTTTCGCGGACGAACTGACCAATCGCGCCGACCGAATCGGCCAAATTGACCAACGCGATTGATCGCTAGTCCACGAGACCTGCTGCTCGCGTTTGCGCTTGCGCCTAAACGTGTAGAATGGGCTTTTAACTGTACTTCGTCTCGTTACGCGCCGTCTCGTGCGCTACTCTTGTGACGTTAAATATCTATGATAATTGGGTGCGTTCAGACACAACTCAACAGTTGCACAACGGTTGAGAGAGATAATTACTTCTGATTGGATTAATACTTTTGGAACCGCAGCAGATTTTGAAGAATAGTCCTATCGTAAGTGATGATCTCTCAACCGTTGAGTTGTTTGAACGGCACCCATTGGAATCAGAGTTACAAGATCGAGCAGAGAGCAACGAGAGATCGAAGCGGTGGGGACACGCACACAAGCGAGAACCGCCCCATCCGTGTGCGCACACGGACGGCAGTTCTCGCTTGTGTGCGTGCCCCCACCGCTTCGATGCTGCCGTTGTTGCTCTCTGCTCGATCTTGCATCAGTGATTGGAATGCGCTCTATATAAGAAATGACGAACTTTGGACTTGGAGAATCGACACGTAGTGACGTTGCGTGAAACATTTGTCACAATTTACGTGTGCGAACTTTGAACTCCGCAAAGCGAGAGATGTTGACATTTAAAAGGACGATCGTTTAAAAGGGATCTTTCTCGTTATTTCGGCAACGTGACGTGAGAGATAAGGGTCTTTTTTTAATTTACTTTTTTTTTTTTTTTTAATTTCTTCATCTTTTCTTCATCGCACAATCTCACACTGGTGCTCGCCATATTATAAAGAAAACATGATTAATACGGGGTAAGCGTAGTTTGTAATAATAACAGTTGCATAAATTACATAACACAAGTATATTGAAACAATTTGCGATCAAGATTATGTACGCGCACAAATTATATATCATTGAAAAAAAGAAGCTGATTTTTTAGATCGGTTCTTTATATATTTCTAGTTTTATAGAAACTGATCTTTTTCGTTTTCTTTTAACACATTGGATCGCAGGAAATTGGCTGGTCGCACCATATTTATCACAGGTGCTTCCAGAGGTATTGGAAAGAGCATAGCGTTGAAAGCTGCTCGAGATGGTGCAAATATTGTTATAGCCGCAAAGACCGCTGAACCGCATCCGAAACTACCGGGCACTATTTACACAGCAGCTGACGAAGGTAACTTTGTTCACGCTTGTTAATTTGTTTGTTATTGCAAAAACTTTCTAATGCGTCATTCGTGAATTTTTATGGATTTTTTTTTTGTTTTTTAGTTGTAGCAGCCGGTGGCAAAGCTTTACCTTGTGTGGTGGATATACGCGATGAGACGCAAGTAATTGCCGCGGTCGAGAATGCCATCAACAAGTTCGGTGGTATTGATATTGTTGTTAATAACGCGAGCGCTATTTCTTTAACAGGCACACTCGCAACCGACATGAAGAGATACGATTTGATGAATAACATCAACGCGAGAGGAACATTTCTTGTGTAAGTATAGTTGAACTCCGTCGGTATAAAAAAATGGTTAATGTTTTAGAAAAAAAATAATTACCAATGTAGAGAGAGAGAAAGAGAGAGAGAGAGGGACACACACACATTTAATGGATTCTTCGGCCACAAAAAATATACAAAAAATATACGTCGTTAAATATAAAAAATATATGTCGTTTTTTACAGAGCTAATTTACGTACGCTTATACAACAAGCACATGTATTTTTTTTTACATATCAGTCTTGCATACATGCTCCACAAAGATTGCGTTTCATAGATTATTACCAGGTGAACGAACTTGTGTTCCAGATCGAAAGTGTGTATACCGTATTTAAAGAAAAGTACAAACCCTCACATAGTGAACCTGAGCCCGCCGCTTAGCATGAAGCCAGTTTGGTTTCAAAATCACGTTGCTTATACAATGGCCAAATACGGGATGTCTATGTGCGTGCTCGGTATGGCCGAGGAATTTAAATCCGACGGCATTGCGGTTAATGCCGTTTGGCCCAGAACAGGTATTCTGAGAGATTACGGCGAGCAAATATATCTCACTGTTGTTTCAAAAATTTACGTACGTTAAAAGATTAATTTATTGAGATATCGCGCTTTTTTTTTTTTTTTTT